TATATATATTCTTTGTACTTTTAGTGTCTCCCATCCTAACGAATTTAATGCGATTTGGGCATTAACTTCGTTACCCATGTCCATAATAATTCGAGCGCATCTATTTTGAAGCTTTTGTAATCGTTGTGATTGAGTTTCACCAAAAATGTCCCAATTAATATTATTAATTAATATTATTGATGCATTAATCATAATGAGAGCAGGAGTTTCAAGCTTATAGTAGTTGAATATTACTGTATATATATATATATATATATATATATATATATATATATATATATATATATATATATATATATATATATATATATATATATATATATATTTATATATAGATATATATATATATATATATATATATATATATATAATTTTTGGCAACAAAAGCTTAGACATACACAAAGCTTAGATATTGTTGCCAATATTCCCGCTGCTACGTGCATCGGTATCAAATGATTTAATTTGCATTTCCGGCGAGGAACGCGACGAACTTGAAGTTACGCTCCTTGAATTCGATTTTACATGCAAACTACGTACATGTTACGCATCTTGATATTCATTTTTTTCTTCATACACTTTCATGCGTAACGTACGCACTAGTTATAAGGGCGCATGAAACCACAACGTTCATTATTGATCAAGACCCAGAGTAAATATGAATCTGGTGTTCAACTTGCTTGTTTTCTTTCTCTTATCATGGACCGTTACTGGCAGAGGTATGTGCATGTTCTAAAATAGTTTGTGTTAACTGTTCTGTTTATATATATATACTTGTGCCTTTATCGTGCAAGATCAGAATTTATTAGAGTATTAATCATTCCACCTGATGCAACAAGCCAACAATTATTAAAAAAGCAAAAATATATATCAGTGACAAAAGACGCGATATCAATAATATATCGTTATAGGAAACTCGTTGCACAGGACATAGTTTTTGTGTCGTAGAAAAAAACCTGTAATAAGCCTTATCTTATAACATTCTCCGCATCCTCCTGTTTTACTCACTCAGCAATAACGAACTAGTCGGTATGTTTGTAATTGTCAAGCACGCGAGTACCATGTATATGCATGAGTTTCTCGTTCGGTGATTTGGACAACTACACTCTGCATGAGTGTGATCAACAGTAAATAACTCATCATTTTTAATTCAGCCTCATTTTTACATTACTTTACCTTATAGCGATGAAGAAGAAACACTGTCCAATAGTCTGTACAACACGCGTTGATCCAGTATGTGGTTCTGATGGAAAAACATATCGTAACCAATGTGTTTTGTATGCGACAGCTTTTTGCGAGGGAAAAAAGATCAGAAAAGTTCGCGATGGAACTTGCAGTGAGTAGAACAATTTTCACTCTTTAAAATTTTATAACATTATATTGTTTGCTTGAAATGCACAAGATTGGTTCAATTGTTTAAGCAATTCAGGAGCGACTGAGAGAAGCCAGCATGCAACTATATCCAAAATAAGACGGAACATTTTCAAATCCAAATAAGTTATGGACAAATTTGCTTTTATGACATGCGCAGAGAAACATTGTACGATTTTCAATTTATGGAAGCTGTTAAATAGGTGACAAGAAATTTGACGGCTTATTGAAAAGACCTCATCGCAAACTCAGATATATGCCTCATGTGTCATCGTATATATATTATATACAGCAAGAAGAACAGTGTTGTATAAAAAAACTCTTTTAATAATTAATCGGGTTCGAGTCGCTCTTTAATTCTTTGGCTTCAAAGGCATTCTCCGCGTCCTCCGCGGTTTCACTCACAAGAGAGGTTAAGATTAACCGCAAACGGCAAACGACCAAACGTCAAATCGTATTTTGAGCTAAACTGTTGGGATTGTTAAAATAATTAACTCTTCAAAGTTAAGAAAAATTGTGCAACAAAGACAAAGTTGAAGCATGAATTAGCTAATTAGCTGACGTAAACTTGTAGAACTTACCTTCAAATGCGATTTGAAGTTTGGTCTGCCGTAAACGCCAATCTATAACCTCTCTACTGTATAACCAATAACTAGCCTATAACTCATATACATCTCATGCACTTAATATCAAGCAAGAGTATACCATGAGCAGTGATGAGCTTCTCGTTCGCGTGAATTGGATTTTACTAGCCTATATACACTCTGAGTGTGTAATCAACGTTAAACTATAGTAGCTCATTTTCATTATATTCAGCATCATCAAATTGTATTATACTTTCGTAGCCTGCCCAATAATCTGTACAGCAGAATATGATCCAGTATGTGGTTCTGATGGGAAAACATATCCTAACGAATGTACGTTGAACATGGCAATCATTTGTGGAGGAAAAAATATCTCGAAAGTTCACGATGGACCTTGCAGTGAGTAAAACAATTTTGACTCTTTAAAATTTTGCACTGACAATATAATCCAAAATAGATTAAAGTTATGGGCAAGTTTGCTATATAATGACATGTAAACATTGTACGGTGTTCACTGAGTTTATGGAAGCTGTTAAATAGGTGCATGACAACAAATTTGGATTGTTGAAAAAATCTTATCGGAAACCCAGTTACACGCCTGTACCATCGTATATATGCACATTAAGTATCATGAAGAAACCTACGCAAATTGTTCAGGAATCACGAGTGTATTTTAGTATATACGTTATAGCTGTATGCTTTTAACAGCAATTAATTCACAGTCTCAGCAGTACGCGCGTGCATTCTCATAAAGCGCTGCGAGCTGCAACATAAAATCATAATAATTATTCTAGTCATTTATTTCATGGTATAAATGCATGTAATATATGGTTAAAAAAATGAAATTTGAACTGACATATAATATAGAGAGTTAGTTGATCACTCTTTATATATCAGTTCAAATTTCATTTTTTTAACCATATATACAACTTATATCTTCATGCCAGTAAGTATCATATGCATTTATGCCATATGAAATGAATTAGAATAATAGTATATAATTTTTGACAATATGATTTTATATTGCAGCTCGCAGCGCTTTATGTGAATGCACGCGCGTACTGCTGAGACCGTGAATATATATATATATATATATATATATATATATATATATATATATATATATATATATATATATATATATATATATATATATATATATATATATATATATATATATACAGCATGAAGGACCGTGTTGTATCAAAAAACCTTTAATAATTAATAGAGTTCGATTCGCTTTTTAATTATTTGGCCGCAATTAAGGCATTCTCCGCATCCTCCGGTTAGTTCCGGTTTCAACCACCAGAAAGGTTACTCAATTAAGATTAATTCCGCAAATGGCAAACGCGTCAAATCGTATTTTCAAGTCAACTGCATGTTGGGATTTTCATAATATAGCTGTTCGAAGTTAAGAAAAATTGTGCATCAAAGTTGAAGCATGAATTAGCTATTTAGCTGACGAAAACTTGTATAACTCACCTTCAAATGCGATTCAAGTTTGCTGTTTCCAGTAAGTGCATGGTCTGCCGTAAACGCCAATCTTAACCTTTAACCATGCAATAACTAGTAACTCCGGTTAATGTCAAGCACGAATACCATGAGCTTCTCGTTCGCATGAATTGGACAACGTACACTCTGAGCGTGTAATAAACGCTAAACTACTGATAGCTAATTTTCATTATTATTATTATTATTATTATTCAGCATCATTAACTTCTTTATATTATACTTTCTTAGCCTGCCCAATAATCTGTACAGCAGAATATGATCCAGTATGTGGTTCTGATGGGAAAACATATCCTAACGAATGTGCGTTGAACGCGACAATCATTTGTGAGGGAAAAAAGATCTCGAAAGTTCACGATGGACGTTGCATGCGTGAGTATTAAAACAATTTTAATTACTGTATGTAAAATCTTACAACAAGTAATTTCCCTGAAATCGCCTTCCGATTCATTCACTCAAATACGATTTGAAGTTTGCAGCTGCTGTAAACGTCAATCTTAAAGGATTAGTGTCAGGGTCATGCATTGCGGGCTTTTGCATGTTATTGTTTACATTTTACTCAAATACAACAAATAGCGATAAAAATACCTTGTTTGGTACATTTCTGATAAAATTAAATCAGACAAAAAGAGCAAGGAGATTGTATAAAAGGATGGTTTAATTATATGACGGATTGTAAACACTTTCCAAATCATCTAATCTATATTCGTCCAGAGAAATAGTCGCCAAGCAGGAGTTTGAGTCCGCGAATTCCACTAATCCTTTAAGTTTAACCTCTCTATAGCTACTAACCAATAACTAACTCGTAAATCTCAGTTGTCAAGCACAGTCACTGAATACAACGGGCTTCTCGTTCGGGTGAATTGGACAACTACACTTTGAGTGTGCATGTAACCAACATATTAAATAGGTCATCATCATTATAATATAATTCAGTATCATCATTAACGTCTTTATATTACTTTCTTAGCCTGCCTAATAGGCTGTACAGCAGAATATGATCCAGTATGTGGTTCTGATGGGAAAACATATCCTAACGAATGTGTATTGTACCAAACAGCATTTTGTGAGAGAAGAAAGATCCGGAAAGTTCACAATGGACATTGCAGTAGTGAGTAAAACAATTTTAACTCTTATATTATGAGATCAGTGAGGATGACCACCCACCCAACCACGCACGGTAACCCACGCACACGATTATTGATGAACTTTATACAGTGCACACTACTTGACAATATCATGGAGCTGCCCACAAGCTTCTAAACTATTTCCATAATTTTTTCGTAAAATTAGTAGCGTTTTTCCTATAACTATTACTTTCTATTCCAAGCCACTAAAAAAATTTCGCTCACCACGAAAACAATCAGTTCGATAGTTCCGAAAACAATTTGCCGAGTCTAGCAGACATTTGCCGCTTGACCATGCACATAAATGAGCTTCTCGTTTGCGTGAACTGGGCAACTATACACGCGTATACTTTGAATGTGTAATCAAATCTTGGTAGCTGATCATCATTATACTAATATAATTCAGAATCAATATCATAATTAACTTCCGTTTATGTTATACTTTCTTAGCCTGCCCAATATTCTGTACAACACACGTTGATCCAGTATGTGGTTCTGATGGGAAAACATATCCTAACGAATGTACGTTGAACGCGACAATCATTTGTGGGGGGAAAAATATCTCGAAAGTTCACGATGGACGTTGCAGTGAGTAAAACAATTTTAATTATGTAAAATGCTACAACAATAATATAATTTCCTTGAAATCGCGAGATTCATTCACTCATGACGACTGAGTGAGAAAGGCGGGAGGGGGATGAAATACAAAACAAACGATCCCAAAAACGTATATAGTACATGCGGACTGTAAATTCAACATACGGATAAGTTTGATTTTCCAAAACTCCAGGTCTGCATAATAATATACTTTGCACACCACTTGACCATATACATGGAACTGCCTACAAGTTTCTCTACAGTATATAATTTAGAGTACATAAGAAATTTGTTACACAAACACATTTTGTTTCGTGGAGAAAAATTGAGATAAGACTTGTCCGAAGATTCTCTGGATCTATTCGGTTTTACTCATTATCGGATCGTCTCAGTGCAAGCACGACTATACCATGTCCATGATCTTCTCGTCCAGGTGAATTGGACAACTACACTCTCACAACTCTCACCGACTCTGTAATCCGAACATTAAATAGCTCATGATCATTATATAATTCAGCATCATTATCATTAACTGCTTTATATTATTACTTTCTTAGCCATAAGGGAAAGACTCTGTCCCATATACTGTCCATATATCTATAATCCAGTATGCGGCTCAGATGGAAAAACATATCCTAACAAATGTGCGTTGTATGCGACAGTTTTTTGTGAGAGAAAAAGGATCAGGAAAGCTCACGATGGACCTTGCAGTAAGTAAAACAATCTTCACTCTACATCAAAGATTTTGAAACAATATAATTCGCTTGAAATGCGCAAAATTGATTCAAGATTGATTCAAGATCTCTTTATTTGCCTTCGAAAATATCAAATCTACTTGTATTCAGGTTTTAACCACAGAGAGGTTAACCGCAAACGACAAACTTTAGGCAACTCTGGGGTGGTAACTCGCCTTAAATCGCCCTATATCGTCCAAACTCGCATTGCTAAAAGTGCAGTTTTTGCTTATTTTAATCGTCTAAAAGTGCTTAAGGTGATTCATCAGTAATTGTTCTAGACATCAGAATTTGCTGAAACTTCCCACAGGTGAAGTTTATGATATGCCCATTGGAAAAAAAGAAAAAATGTTGGGGTCACCGATCGAGCTCGTTTCGAAGATATGACAAGTGTAAAGACCACCTTTTCCCCCATTTGGAGCCATCTTGACCCTTTTACGAGTTACAGGAACTTCACAATTGCCCAACCTTTATTGTATTTTTAACAAGGATCTTACTAATTAAAAATGTCTATCTATCGTGATTATAAACAAGAAAACATGGTTTTTTAGCGAATCAAAAACCACTGTCGTGATGCAAATATCTTTTCCCATCTTCTCAGACATGTTATTTTTGGAAGCATGCGCAAACTGCACAAAAAATGTAAAATATTATAAGTTGTAGAAATATTTTTCTCTTACTTTCTCATATGGCATGTAAAAACGCATAGAAGAACAAAAATATATAATAAAAAAGTAGGGTTACGGATCTTCTTCAAGAGATACAAGGGTTAAACATGCAACATGATGTGGTTTAGTGTTAGTTGCACAGGGAGCCCTAGACAGAGTTTAGTTTAGTATTAGTTACACAGCAGCCCTAGTCATTATTGAAGGTATATTTCCTGAAGCGCGCCAAATCAATGCAGAGTGATTTCTCTTTGCCCTTACTCTTTCTTCATCACTTTACATAGTTCGACTACAGCACATATATTAGCTAGCATTTGTTATTAGATATGCGCACTAAAAGTGGGCAATGCAAAACTAATGAGTCACCTTAAACTCGCATTATCTCGCGGCGAGTTACCACCCCCAGAGTAGACCTACATTTAAATTGGGTTTTTGAGGTCAACTGTTAGGACTGTTAGTTGTTCGAAGTTAAGAGAAAATGCGCATCAAAGTTGAAGCATGAATTAGCTACTTAAGCCCTGTTTAAACGGATCCAACATTGTTGGGCCAACATCATCCAACATTGTTGAAGTAATGGCTCAAACGGCTTCTTTTTCAAATATTTTGTCAAGACTAGGTTTAGGGTTTGAGTAAAGCTTATCTAACCAAAAAGATTTGAAAGAGAAGCGGTCATATCTAGTATAGTAACATTGTTGGATGATGTTGGTCCAACAATGTTGGATCCGTTTAAACAGGCCTTTACAGTCGAAAACTTGTAGAACTTGTAGAACTCGTCTTCAAATGCAATTTGGAGTCAGTTGCTGTTTCCAGTTAGTGGTCTGCCGTAACCGTCAATTTTAACCTCTCTACTAACCAATAACTTTTAAATCTCAGTTGTCAAGCACAAATACAACGATCTTCTCGTTCGGGTGAATTGGACAACTATACACTCCGAGTGTGTAACCAACATTATATAATCAACATTTTAATTATAAGATTTATTCATTTTAATTATAACATTTTAATTGATAAGATTTAGAGTTGTGTATAACCAACATTTCAATGTTGATATATTATGGCTGACATGATTTGCCACAAGGTTCATGAATTTTTAATGAATATTTTAAATAATGATAATGAGCTATTTAAATTAAAAATAGCTCATTATCATTATTTAAAATATTCATTAAAAATTCATGAACCTTGTGGCAAATCATGTCAGCCATGATATATGACTTGAGCGACTTTGCATCTGATAAAACTCATCTCATTGGTATTCTTTATAAAATTGTTCATCCTAATTAGTATGTTTAATATATAATTGTTCATCCTAATTAGTATTCTTTTGTAGTCGTATTTTAAGCCATTCAAAACACTCGAACTCGCGTTTTAACATATCTAAAACGTTCGGCTGCGCTTCACGCTTTAAATATGATAAAACACTGATTCCTTCTCGTGTTTTAAATACTACATAATTCAGTCATCAATATCATTAACTTCTTTATGTTATACTTTCTTAGCCTGCCCAATAATCTGTACAGCACACGTTGATCCAGTATGTGGTTCTGATGGGAAAACATATTCTAACGAATGTGAATTGTACCGGACTGCTTTTTGTGGGAGAAAAAAGATCCGGAAAGTTCACGATGGACCTTGCAGTGAGTAAAACAATTTTAAGTCTTTAAGATTTTATAATAATACAGTTTGCTTGAATCCACAAGATTGATTCTTTAAGCAATTCAGGGGCGACTGTGAGAAGGAAGGCGGGATGCGGATGTTATACAAAACAAACATAATTTCTCAAATTCATTAATAATTCATCAGCAATTCAGCCAATGATAATCACCTATTTGATCACAAGATGGCATTTGGATACTTGATGAAATTCACTATACAGTGTGTATAAAAAAAAGGCTAGTCTTTGAAATTCAAATTATAGTCATAATTACAGTTATCTCTAATGATACGCGACGAAAACATGTCTTATTTACAAAAGAGCTCAATTATAACTTCATTTTAATGCTGCTTGTACTGTACAGGGTATTTCATTGAGTTGTCCGTACATGTCCCATAAGTAGAGAATCTTTTGTTTTACGGCTCGCTAATTGATTAGCAGTAGTTATAAATTCAATACAATATGACCAATTTGTTAGCCTTTTTTTATACACCCTGTAGTGTTTTCATCAAATATCTTAATTACGCATGCAAAATTACTTGAATAGAATTCCTAATTACGTTATGCTTGGTTAAGAATTCTATTCAAATCAGCAAACGAAAACATTCTGTTACGTCTCGATTCATTTGAGAAGCCATATAAACAACGAGAGCGAGTGTACGTTTCACCGGGATATCCAAACACTCGAAAACAATGTATGAAGACACTCGCGCTTCGCGCTCGTGTTTTCCTACATTGTTTTCTCGTGTTTGGACATCCCGGTGAAACACTCCGCTCTCGTTGTTCATATAATACATCCAATATAGGACACAACATTTTCCAAATAAATGAAAGTTATGTGCGCATTTGTAATGACGTATGGGAAAAATTTGTACGGTGTTCAGTTCGCATAAGCTACTAAACAGGTGACAACAAAATTGTTGGAAACAGACAATAACAAACCATTATATTATTATATATATATAATATTGTTCGGAAAAACCTTTTAGCAAACTCAGTTGCACGGCTGTATACTATAACTGTATGGCGTATAACGCGTTCACGTTTTAAAGCGAGTTGTTATAATCTTTTTCCTTGCATGATAAAGTTTATATTTAGTAAACTACATATACAGCATGAGTGGTCAGCGAAGAGTTGCCGTATACAGGCTGATACAACATGCACTAACGAAAATGCTATACCTGTATATACTTCATAAATCTCATTAATAATTCACGAGGAAAATACCAAAGAAATGAATGTTTAACCAATGTTTCTAAATCGGATAGAGATTTGTCCTAATTTACATAAACATCAGCTTTGATTTTCTCGGGTTAGACAATGTTTATTTTAAAATTACTTCGCCAATGAACTCATAAGATGGGTCGTTTTGTCGTTCAGATAAAGATCGGCTGCTAGCTCATGCATGTTTAAAACTACTTACAGACCTGGGTTTTTCTCGAAATATAACGTCAATTGGCCCGCGTTTTGTTATTTACCCGTTACTTATATAAGATTGTGAATATTAATTTCTTTTGGAATGTTGTAAAATTGGGGACGGGAACAAAACGTTCGTCAAATAGCCCCGGAGATTTTTCGAATGATTGAAGCTTAGCATATTTCGTCCGCAATTCCACCATTTTAATGCGCGCCACTCTTACTTCAATAAAATCCTTTAGCCCATATGGGAGCTGCTGCGGATTTTGCGCATTTATTTCGCAGTCGTGAGACGTGCAGTATAACCATATTCCATTATTGTAACTAAAGCCCGTTTAGTCCGTTTACACGAGCAAATTTTATTTGACAAATATCATGTCAAAGATATTTTGCTCGTGTAGATGATAAATTTGTGACAAATGTATTGGGACAAATGCATTTGAACAAAAGCTAGCTTTTGATCAAATGCATTTGATCAAATGAAATTTGTGAAAGTAAAATTTGTTCTTGAGTCTTGTAAACGGGGCTTAAGTGTTAAGAGCCTATATATACCATTTCGCTTTAAAGAGAGCAGATACGAACTTCGACGCAACAAAACCCCTGAGAAACCCAGGATCAATTATAGGACAGATTCTATGATGATGATGTTTTGGAATTTTATTTTACAAGAATTTTATTCATATTTCTTTCATTTTCAGAAAAGTGAAAACTGTTACTATATAAGTGAAAGCTGGAATGACAAGGAAAGACAACTCGAAATTTGTTAGTAATTACCTAGTAATTGTTGTAAACAGTAGCTGCTTATTAAAACGGAAATAGATTCAAACTTACATCACTTTGGTTGTTGTGTTTAATTTATTGATTTAGGATAGTTAATAGCTAGTTATAAACCGAAGTGGAGATGAATATCCTTGCACTATTCACTAACACTAAGGTGAATCATTCTTTTAGCATATACCACAAACGAAACAAGGATCAAACAATAATGACCAAAGAGTAACGAAAATTCTTTTACATTAAAAGCAGTTTGTATTATAGTTCCCGTATAGTTAAAAAAATTGTAAGCAAAACAGTGTTTGCAAGCTTTGAGTAAAGTCAAGTTTATTCATTGCAACTGATGGAGTTTAAAGAATACATGTAAACACTGTCAGACCAAACTTTATGGCTTTCCTTGTATTTGGTTGAACCGCGGTTTCGTTTAGTAAAACATTGCGCTCCTGTAACCGGAGCAAGGCGGGAAGACATATTTTGGTCCGGATGTGAACAGTAGAGAGGTTCAGATTTGATTTCCGCTACCAAAATTTTAAGCGACCATTAACCAATGAGATGCATACTGAGCCAGGGAGAAGTAATGGTAGCCGTATTAGCCTACGGAGCTGATGCTTTTCGGGAGGGTGCAGTTGAAAGTTTGCCCCAATTTTTACATATTTTATGAGCGTATGCCCGAATTTTCTTTTTTTGCTCCACCGCCCCCACCCCCCCCTCCCCCCGTCTCGTACGACTATGGATAGCGGAAGTGGAAGGCAATATGAACCTTTCTAGTGCAAGGACGTCGTGAGTCAGTCATGTTGGTCTTAGCTCGACCATCATTGAGTCCAGAATTTTCTTGAGAATTCAAGTATGTCTCCACGATCTTTTGATTCGTTTCCTTTAGAGCCGATTCTAGTTCGTTCTGAGTCCTTTGAAGTTCGTTCCGCAGTCCGAGCGAATCTGTTGAACGGGCCCTCTGATAGCCATAAATCTTCGAAGTGCGTTTATGAAACTAAAAGCGTCCATACTCTCGATTAATTCGATATGAATAGCTCTCGTTGAAAGGCAAGTAAAGATTACTGCCCATTGTTTACTGTAAGCGTGTCCTCCTCTGGTGCGACGAGCTGTGACCTCCCATGGACCGAAAACGTCCAGTCCGACGTAGGTGAAAGGAGGTGATGGAGTGATGCGTTCTGATGGGAGGTCTGCCATCTTCCGGTGATGAAGCTTCCCTCGGAGTTTCTTACATTTCAGCCACTGATGGATAACGCGATTGACGAGGCGTTTTCCGCCGACGATCCAGAATCCTTTTGATCTGACCATGCCGTGGGTTCCAAGGTTTTTCTGAACTCCTGGCTTTGCGTTCGTGGCGAGGGTTGTGATTTCGGGACGAAGTTCTGGGTCTTCTTGTGGGGGTTGGAAGGTCTCGGTCTCCAGTGGAACGTCGAGGAAACTTGTGCTTTGGAGGAAATTCGGGCCGGCCAACCAAGAAGAGTTTTTAAGGTCACAGACTCTCACCGATCGAGTAGCTAGATCTGCTGGGTTGAGATCAGTTGCCACGTATCTCCACTGATCTGACGACGACGACCTTCGTATTCTTTGTACGCGGTTGCTGACGTACACGTAGAACCGGCGCGTTTCGTTAAGAATGTATCCTAGTGTGACTTCACTGTCCGTGTAATAGGTTAAGGAGTGTGGTTTTACTGCTAACTCTTCGATAACCAGCTCCGTAATTTCTACGCCGAGCATTGCAGCACAAAGCTCTAAACGGGGAATCGTTGTGGCATGGGGTGGAGCCAGCTTAGCTTTGCCGAACACGAATGATACTTGGGCTTGACCGTCTTTCAGGACGACTTTGACGTATGAGACAGCATCAATGGCTTCGGTGGAGGCGTCGCAAAATGTGTGGATTTCTATACGGCTTGCTTCGGACAGTGACACACTTGCGTAGGTACGTGGGACTTTGACTTCGGTTAGGTCTGAGAGGGATTTGCACCAAGCTTCCCAGGATGCTTTATGTTGCTTAGGTAGCGGTTGGTCCCAGTCGTCAAGTGGGTGGTGTTTCAGGCTCGTTGTCATAGCTCGCAGCAGGATTTTGGCTTTGATGACGACCGGGGCAGCGATTCTGAGAGGATCGTAAAGACTGTTGTTGACGGAGAGAACGCCACGTCTTCTAAAGGGTTTGGCTCCGTCGGCGGCCTGAAAGGTAAAAGCGTCTGCTTGTAGGTCCCAAAATACACCCAACGAGTGCTGAATCGGTACTACGTCGCGGTGAAGATCCAGATTGCGTAGGTCGGAAGCTCGGTCTTCGACGGGGAAGGCCTGTGTACTGTGGGGTCGTTGGACGCGATTTTGTGGAGGCGCAGGTTGGCATCGGCTAACATGGTTTTGGTTCTATGTAACGGGAACGGACTTTAGGCCGTCGTCTACGTAAAAGTCTTTCTCTACGAACTCTCTTGCGTCAGGTCCGTACTCGGTTCTCCTACGAGAGCTGTCTTTCTAAGAGCGCATGTTTCATACGGTATTCGATCGCTTCTTCTTCGGGGTTGTTGTCTTTATGTCAGAAAAAGCGAAGATAATCTCGATGGTCTTGACGAACCATAAAGGAGTGGAACGTTTGTTCGATGTCCGTCATGAACGCGATGGTGTTGCAGCGAAAGCGCAAGAGAATACCTACGAGACTGTTGGTCAGGTCGGGGCCAAAGAGAAGTAGCTTATTTAGTGACACTCCATTGGTTTCGGCTGCTGAATCGAAGGCTACCCGTATTTTATCAGGCTTTCGAGAGTGGTAGACGCCGAAGTGGGGAAGGTACCACCGTGGTCCTTTTGAAGCTATGTCACTCTCGGGAACGGGCTCTGCATGACCATTGTCGAAGAGCTTTTGCATAAACTCAAAATAGTCGTTTTTCATTTCCGGTTTCCTTTCGAGAGTCCGCCTTGTGGAGTTAAAACGCTTACGAGTGTCTTCGTGGTTGTCTGGTAGTCTTGATATCGGGTTACGAAACGGAAGTGGCGCCTCTCAGTTCACTGCCTCGATTTTGACCATTTGGTGTTCCATTATGTTGACAAATCTCCTGTCTTCCATGGAGGGACCAGGTTTGTTGTCGTCCTTCGAACTTGCGAACACTTTGGCTGCTAGGTCATCGTCAAAGTTTCCGTTTTCGAATGTCTCTTTCCTTTGGTCGCTATTTCCGTCGTAGGGGACGGCAGGAACGGTGATGTGTATTCCTTGATGTGGAAACGATTAGGGCAGGGTGAAAAGATTGATGGTCGGCCACTTTCGAGAACGTTTGTTTTGTAACAGGAAGGCTTCGGTGTGTGAGCTCCGTCCAGGCAAGCGTTGCCGATGATGACCCATCCTAGATCAAGACGCTGAGCCCAAGGGGCGTTTCTAGGTCCGTTACGGGATTTGTGAACCTTTTGAAGTGGAAGAGCTTTCCGATCGATGAGCAGTAGGATGTCTACGTCGCCACGGATCTCTGGTATTTCGTCAACAATTTCGTGTAGGTGTGGGTGAGCTCGGGCTACCTCTGGCGAAGGTGTTTCTTGTTCAGAATCAGGGATCGCGTTACATTCGATGATGTTCGACTGATGTTCGACTTTTATTACCGTCCACAGACTCTACGACGAGATTTTTGCTGCATCTTCCTCGAATCTGAGTTGTTCCGGCACATGTTCTAAGCGAATACGAGGTTGCTTGACCGTGAACGTTTAGGCGATCAAGCAGTTCGGATTTTGCTAGAGAACTGTTACTCTGATCATCGATTACCACGTACGCCTTCACTTTGGTTTCTGGATGTCCGGTAACGTATATGTTGGCTAGGCAGATTTTTGAGCATGATTTCCCACCGGGGGAACTCCCACATATTTCGGTGCATTTGGTTGTGATCTCTCCCGCGTGCTGGTTTTGTCGAGGGTTAGCGCCATCATCGGGTTGGTCTTTATTTGCTACCTGCTCCCGGCCGTGCCTTTGCTCAACGTCGACGTGTAGTGCGACGAGGTGTTTGTTGCTTCCACATTCGGTGCACACAACCTTGGCCTTGCAGTCCTTCGCAAGGTGATCGCACGATGCGATACAGCGAAAGCATACTCTGTTCTTTCTTAGTATTGTGGTTCTTTCATCGAGTGGCTTGGCTTGGAAGGCTTTACACTTGCTTAATGGGTGTCCTTTATGGTGGACAATGCACCAGTTCGTAGGGTTACGAGGTGGGGGATCGTGTCCGACTCTGCGATCTTGGGCCTCGATCTCAGTCTTCTTTACACTAATTTCTTGTCGCCAGCTCGGGTTTCGCATACCTGTGTTCTTCTTCTCGGGAAGCTCTATGATCAGGTTAGGATCGTTTCTTTCGAGAGACAACTCCTGGATGAAGGTGACAAACTCGGAAAATGGCGGGTAGTCCACCTCGGCTTGTTGTTTCTTATATCGAAAGATGTGCTTTTGCCATCTGCTTTGGATATCGCCAGGGAGCTTCGCAATAGAGAGGTTAAGATACCCCGGTTCCGGTTTACGGGTACGGGTGATATACACGTACCCGTGCCCATAAATCGGGCAACGACTTGTAACTTAAGAAATCCAAGTTATTCCGGCGTGAGTAAACCTATCAGAGAATGGTAACTTTCGCTGTTGAAGTTCGCCATAGATTGTTGAAAACTTTGACGAGCATATGTTCGTTATTTTTTTGGATAAGATGTTGAAACTTTTTACTTTTTAAACGGCCCACAAATAGTAAACAGAAATCACCCGTACCCGTTTGTCCTTTACGTGTAGACCATGGTTTACCGCGGGGAAACGGGTAGAAATTACGAGTAAAAATGCTGACAGCAGCAAAAATTGGAAAACAAAATGGCGATACTCGTACCCGTAAACGGAACCCGGGTATCTTAACCTCTCTATTGACAGGTTTAATAATGTAAGGGGCTCGTCGAGGATTCTGAGGCCTCTGTATCCGCCATCATTCTTAGCACACTGTAATTCTAAAAGCAGATCTCCGAGTTCTTGGAGTTTCTTGTTATCTCTAAATCCGATTTTGGGCAGATCTTTCAGTTTGTTCAAATGTACTTCAGTTATAACCGCGTTAGAACCAAACCGCTGACTAAGTTTTTGCCATAGTATCTCCACGCCTTCAGTGGGTTTGTTGATATATGCGTTTCGAAGCTGTTGAGCAAGTTTCTTTGATTCGTTGCTGGTATACTCTATGATGAGCGATAGCTCTTCGCTAGGGGTAAGATGAATGTCTCGTATCATATTCTTGAAGGATTCTTTCCAACCGTAAAAATTTCTGGGATTATCGTCAAATATCTGAATCTTATTAGCGATAAGCTCTCTGCGTGCCATGAATTGGATGTAAGAGCTTATAACATTTGTACTAGGGTCTGTCCGATAATTCTGAGGTTGAGGGATAAACGAGTTGGTCATCTGGTCTTGTCTTCGGTTGGGTGGTTTTTCTTGTATAGGATGGTTGGTATTCTGTGGGGGTTGTGGACCAATGACATGATTAGGAACAGCACGACGACGAGAGTCTTGGGCAGTGTTAGATTCGTCGAAGCGTTGTGAATTTATATAGTTTTGGACCCTTTCCGCAGGATCGTCTTGTGGCAGATCAAAGTGTTCAGGATCTTGATGATCTGCGAGGCTCAGTTCTTTATCTATTGCCTGAGCTTTAAAAGATGCTTTTATTCGCTAAAATTAACTTGTAACAAAAGAATGCTCACTGAGGCGTGAGAACCGAGCCAAAAAACCCTGGTAAAAAATACCCTCTGGCTCGCTAATGAGATGCGGTTTACAGAAAAATACCGCGAAAACGAGTGAACGCAAAAGAATAATATTAAATGCTATAGAAAGTATACAGGGTGTCCCAAAAAAAAGTGACACTATAGAAATTATCTCATTGTTCTTAAGCCGCTCTTAAACGCGCGTGATTACACGCCTGGGAATTCAATGAACTTGTATTTACATTTAAGCATTTTAAAACGTTTTCGCTTTGTCCAAATATTTTAACGCCGGAGTCAAGCAAAACGATTAGACTAATAAACGGTTTGGTTTTTTATTTTAATTTCCAGAAGCAGAAGTTTATGCACCTGTGGGATCAACTTAGTGCTAGGGCATTCAAATTATAACAATAGGATAATTTCTATAGTGTCACATTTTGGGGGGATACACTGTATAGGGGGGCTAGTGACCAGAACAGTTGAGTAAGAACACAAGGTCTTGTACTCATGGGACAAAACTCAAAGAAATACTGAAATTAGAAAACTTAAAAGAAATACTTTGAGACACACTGTATAGTTAATTAATAAACTAGAAATAATCAGAGATTAGTGAAGCGCGTTCGAAGTGAATTTTAAATTGTTTAGAGAATTGTTTTGATTTGTGCGACCACCTGCTATACACATGGTCGAAAAAAGCATATATTTTTTAACACAACTCCGTCACTTGTTAAAATAATTAAAAATACTGATGCATCTCATCTACATTCACTGACGAAGTTTAACATATATTGCCCAGGTATCTAAATCATTCATGCATGATGATATTGAATTTGCTGTACACCGAGGAAACGCATCAGCCATCACACACCAACGTCCAAATGTGACAAATGGGAGGCCAAGTTTCGGAAATTTAATTAATCGGCTGTCAGATTTATTCCGCAAAAAAACTCGCTCCACAACTTCCAGATGCTTTGATAAATTAAATATACTCAATCATATCAGTATGTATCTATACATAAAAAACAAACACAAATTCATCCACCCTTTCCAAAAAAAGTGTGACAAATAGCGATAATTTGTTGAACATTGAAAAGGTTGACGTTCAACCGCGAGTTCGCAAATACGTGATCCTCGATTTCTAACATCATTGGACGAGATGTCACGGAATCGAGGCTAACTCCACAAACACAAATTCGCAAATTTGCATGGCATCGAAGGCGAAACCCCTAGTCTGCGAACCCAGGCGTCATTTCCCACACTCATTCTTTGCTCGGAAAGTTACATTCCGTGATTCTAAGCAAGGATTCTGAGCATGGGAAATGACGTCAGATCTGGGTTCGCAGAACTACGAAACCCCCCGCGAAGACACGATTAGTATGCGTTCTCCTTCGTCGAACGCAATAACACTCAGAATACTCAAACAGAAAGAAATGATCAATAATAGAATAATAATCAATTTTACAAGGCAGTTAGAGACAATGTCTTGTCTCCTCTATTTGAACACTCTATATCAAAGTTTACTCGTTTGCCCATGACATTTCCTTTTTGATGGAAAAATATATATATGGCTACTCATTGTTCACGCGAAATAGCAATTCACGCTTCAGTAAAATAACCTTCACCACCCTCTAAGTAACAGGGTAACAGCAAAATTGTAGATAATATTTTACACGCCGGGTAAAAACTAAAGAGGAAAGTTTTAGTAAGAATAATCATCTTCCTTTAATAATTTCAACATCTTCGTATACAGGTGGTGGTTCAGCCGGTAAAACGTAACCAGACTCGCGTTTCAAAAGTTTCTGGTAGTCACCAGCATTTATTGTTTCTCTGTCGACGGGAAAATGAAGCTCACTATAACCAGAGGGTACTGAGATTTGGATTTCTTCATTCGTCATTGTTCCACCATCAACGGGAATTACATCGTCTGGTGTCGTTCCACTGTCAACTGGAATTACATAACCTAGTTCGTCTGGTGCTGTTCCACTATCAACTGGAATTAGATAACCTAGTTCGTCTGGTGCTGTTCTACCATCAACTGGAATTACATAACCTAGTTCGTCTGGTGCTGTTCCACCATCAACAGCTGGAATTACATAACCTAGTTCGTCTGGCGCTGTTTCACCATCAACTGGAATAACGTAATCAAATTCCTGTACGTATACAGTATTAATAATTTTTTGTAATAAACCGATTTCATGTGTTGACTGCCAAATGACGCATTTCGCGTCGGGATAAAATTTATTGAGGGGTATAGCAACTGGATCTTTAAGGAGGTCTAAGGGAGCGTTTATAATTTATGAGGTGGGAGGGAGCTATCCATGGCCGGGATTTTGCATTTTGAAAGAATATTTTTTGATAACCCATTAACTACCCTTCACGCCTTATACATGTTCCGGTGACCTACCCCAAACATATAGCTAAAAATTATTCTAAACACGTTCCTTTTGCATGACCTTCTCCAAATACAAAACACTCAAGAAATATTTGTTTCTATTTGTTTTCATTCTGTACTTGTGCTTAGTTTGAAATCTAGACTGTACAGGGAAAGATTAAAATATGCATTCTGTTTGTATCACAGACACCCGACCTTCCATACCTAATTTTCTAAGAGAAGAAGCATGTTACATTTACACTTGGGTATTCTTTTCTTTAAACGAAATATAATGATTGATTTGCTGGCCCAAAAGAAAATTAACGCAACTTTTTGTAAATATATTATCTAATTTTCGTCCAAAAAGAACAAAAATTTAATCGATCTGTCCTTGGCCAGGCCTACTTTGGGGGCCAAGGTCGCCTAATGTCGCCTAATTTCGCCTAATGTCGCCTAATTTCGCCCACTTTCGCCCATGTGCACCCAATTTTTTAACTTTGCCTGACAGTCTATTTGCTTAATGTCGCCTAATTTCGCCTAATGTCGCATAATCTCACACAAGCATGCCCAATTTTGCACTTTGAGTTTGTCGTCCATACTAGTCTATTCCTTATTTATTTGTTAGTTTCTTGCATGTTTTTTTCATAAATACATGTACACAAACACCAAGGGCATGTGCTGTTAGGGCACCATCTCTCACCAGTATTAATGAGGCTTGGTTATTTGGCGTTTATATGTATATGAATTACAACACATTATTCCAATGAGAATTACCTAAATTATGTTGTTAAGGCAGCCTTCTGGCTATCTTCTCCAATGTGTTTCTTTGTGAAACTCAGTCAAATTAGTCAATCACACGCCATTACTGTAAATGTTGTATATGAAATCAAACTTAGATCTTATTGTCAAAGATACATTCATGATAACTGGCGAGTGCAAAAGTACAGAATACCTCTCACTAGCCTAGTGAAGGACACTAGGTATCCTAAAGGCCGAAACGGTACCGTCGGTAGTTATAAACGGTACCGTCGGTATATATATATATATATATATATATATATATATATATATATATATATATATATATATATATATATATATATATATATATATATATATATATATATATATATATATATACCGTATATAATCGGTCACGAGTACTAAATACTGCCCGGTGCACCCGGGGACGCCCAGGAGTGCCCGGGGACATATATAATCGGTCACGAGTACTAAATACTGCCCGGTGCACCCGGGGACGCCCAGGAGTGCCCGGGGACGCCCTGAAGCGCCCGGGAGCGTGTGAGAACGCCCGGGGATGTATAAGATATAGTATAAATCAGTGCACGATCCTTTTTGAGTCTCTATGAGGCATTATATCAATGAACTTGGAATTCATCTCGGGTACGTTGCTTTTTGGCCCTGGAATTTCTCAGAAGTAATTCTTCAGGTGTTGGGTATTTTCAATGAGATTTCGTCAGGGGTCAAAGGCAAAAATTGAAATTCGATAGGTAAATGCTGAATTATTTAAGTGGTAACTGCTATTAACAGGAAACCATCATGGGACATACTTTGTTACAGTAGGAATTTTTCAGGGGTACATATAGTAAAACCTTGAACTCGATAGGGGTGTTACCACCGGTACATGTTACTGTATATGGAATAGTCCTATCTATGAATAAAGAAAGTCATCTATAGTATGTTCAAAATACGACTGTGTAGTTTGTAAAATAAAAGTACTTACTTTTCGACGAAGCTACGATGATCGACATCTCATAATTAGGTATCATCGCAAAAGATACAGAGCAATGAACGCACCACAGAAAGATCTACGGTACAGGTTGTTATAAAATGTCGCCAAGGCCCGCCATAATCAATTATTATGCTTCCTTACACGAAGTAGTACAAGTTAGTAGCTAAACCAGACGTGCCGTGGTATTGCGGGCTCAAATCCCAGCCGAACAAGAACAGGTCTCTGAGGTTTTGGATAAAAGGAATTTAATTATTTATTAGTTCAGTTAAAGTAAAGGAACTGTCATCTAATTTTAGTAAAGTAAGTCAGTATAGTTATACAACTGTATATGGATTAAACTTTTTTCTATCTGTTTGCTTTGAAAGTAAATTCTATTTTTTAATGAAACTATAAGATTTATAGTTATCACTATTTGACTAATTTGAGATATTTGTTTGCCAGTTTGGTGGGTTAGATTTCAAGCATGGTTATGGTGGTACATGATTTACATGGTACACGTTTATGATAGCTAGCTAGCTAGCTGACAATTTATTTACTTTAAATGCCAATTCTTTCACTTCCATCACTGCATACCACAGTCCATAAACAGGTTTTAAAACTCTATGAGGTGTTTACACCAGTCAATTTAATGAGAAGTCAGAGTTCCATGATGCTGTAAATGTACCATGCACTGCATGGGCATGTATGTGTACTACGGTATAAACTTTGAATAAATTGTTAGGCTAGCAGTTAGATAAATGTTCCTTGTTATTTTTGCTATTTGTAATAAACTAATTGTGTTCTTTGCCACAGGAACCAATTTTTGATAACTAAATTATATTTTGATATTTACTGTTGTATTTTCTATGTAGATGCATAATTTGTGAATTATAATATTTGACGTTATCTGGATATTACTGTTCAGTTTTGTCCAATGTCGCCTAATGTCGCCCAGTTTCGCCCAGCGACGCACACTACTTTTCTTTGAAAATTGCCAATGTCGCCTAATGTCGCACAATGTTGCAAATAATAACGGCGACCTTGGCCCCCAAAGTAGGCCTTTGGCCTACACCAATTAGCTTTGCATGCATGCCTTTGCATTAATTAAGCTGTCGGACAGTTCATATAACGCACATAAATTATATGAACGCTCCCTTGCAGGTTTATGTTATTCTGCCGTAAGGCACTAACACATGCACAAATAAGGTTTAAGCTTGGTTTCCATATGGTCGTACCTGTCGCGAACGTGAATGTTGTAAATGTCGTGAGAGTGTGTTCGCGACCAAATGGAAACATGATTAAAAACGTCTTGTTGCGACACGCTAAAACAGTTCACGACAATTACAACAGTGTCGTCAAGATGGACTTGACTGAGTTTAGTCTGGACGACAGTTGCGACAGGCTAAAAACGTGTCGCACTGTCGTGATGTTTTTTTAACTGAAACAGAAAAACGACAGCGTGGCGGTAACAGTTTGTCTTTTTCAAACTGCCCACGCCAGCTGCTTGTACGATCCCTGGGTATAAAATTAACTTGCGACAGTGCACGACAGAGTCACGACAGTTACAACCATATTGAAACCAGGCTTAACAATTAACCTCATACCCGAGACAATAATGGCTACATTCAGCAGAATATTCGGCCAAGAAAATCATCCAACAGTGACAGGGAAATGTACTAGCCGTGTTTTTCCGTTTGACTGGGCTGGCGTGAAAATTCATGTTAAGATGTATACATACCTGATTATTTTGCAATGGTTGTGGTAATAGCCGTAACGTTGGATTCTGCATTTCAACTGTTTCCACTACAGGAACAGGGTTACACAACTTGGAAGATTGGCGTAATCGTCTTTTGTATATGATGAGGATCACAAATAAGACAACAAACACTATGGCAAGAGTTACGGCAACAGCCACACTTGTACCAATCAGTTCAGTGCCGATCTGTGCTCCTGAAACCGGTTAAATTTTTTATTGGTACTTAAATTACAAAATAAGCGCAACATCCAATAATTACACACCTCACAATTTACTAAGACTTCAGTCAGTCACCCCCATGGCCCATCTTTGATTACGCGGAGCCCACTGCATGCCGGGTTTAGTGAGAAAGCGAATTCGGAGAATTCCAGCCTATCAGGACAGAGCAGGGTAGTCACTCATCTACTAACAATACCCTTCGCTCGAGTTCTAACGCGCTCACCGCATCTTCCATATGTGAGATACTCTGTGACTTGACACCACATTTGCAAGGCAAAATTTAGTAAACGCAGACGTTTTTATATGTGTGCCAATATATACACGGCAAAAAACGCCGAGCTCGTTGCTCAACAGGCTAGGACTGAACAATGTTTTGCTGCCCACGTTGTTCACCCTTGTCAACAATATTGAACAATGTTGTTGAGTCTGAATCGGGTGTAACAATATTGTTCAATATTGTTGACAGCTGTGAACAATGTGGGCAGCAAAACATTGTTCAATCCTGTTTTCATCAGTATTGCATCAACCTGAGCGTTTTTGCCGTGTAGAAAGCGTTAGAATTTGTGATTAAGTCATGCCCGCCTTACGAGGGCATGACTAACGGGCAGTTTACCCATTTGTCTTGCTATTAACCCGTGGTCAGGTGAAACTACGCAATTGTGGTCGAATTGGTTTAAAATCAAACCAAAATCGCCAGATTTTAAAGGTTTCGCACATTAAAATGTTTTTTTAATTTTTAAAAACAGCATTTTTAAATTTGGGAGATTTGTTTTTAACATTAAAATACTCTTTTCCTGGAAAATGTTTTACTCATGCTCATCATGACCTCTAGCTTCGCCAGTGGCGAAGAAATTAATTAATCTATAAAATAAACTATAAATTACACTGGTTTAATTCCTATTCTGTCTAACCTGGGAGGCAGGCTCAGCTCTGGTTAGGGGAAGGAAGAGCATGGCAGTCCGGCTTCTAATAAATATTCGTGTATAGCGTTCGCCCACGAACACTAGCTTTTCATTGGCTATAGCTCTAATGACACGTCAATCAACAGTAATATCAATATTCAAAACGGTCAGCAACGACGGCGGTTCTATAACGACGAGGCGCTCGAGGAGTGTTCAGAGCATGTACTGAAATAACTAGATGTTATAGTAGAAGTACAGGGATTGTAACAAATATCCTGATAACTCATTCCACTGTGAAATAGTATGGTAGATATCCTAGGAATACGCGAGTGCAGACATTCTAGGATTTCTGCACCGAATAAGTGTTGATGTTGCTAAAGCAATAGCGTTGATTTCTCGCTCATTTTCATTATCTTTCAAATTTTCCAAGTTGCAAGTGCTCCCTCAATACAGTGTTTAGTATTGAGCAATAAACCTTAATCTCCCTATATAATACAATGGTGTTTGAGAATACAGAGAGTTAATCATGCAGGTTTGATGGATTTTAAACAACTGTCCGACTTTATACAGAAGGCTTTGCATTCCCTGTAAATAACTTCTCGCTCTAAAGGATTGATTAGTTCCCTCGAGAGAAACTCATGGCGAAATAATGCATTTGCTACTGGCTCATGCCACCTAGCCTCCGTAACGCAGACCGTGTTGCGCTCCCTAGACTCCTGTATACTGTATATTTATTCATCCTCGGTCCCAGGGCCTATTTATTTGAAATCGACATACTATATCGGCAAGACACGTGCGTGATTGACATTTCGCAGGAAGTAAACAACAAAATACTGCTCTGATTTGTCAATCTATATAGCGAATTTGAACTTATTATAAGGGGTGGCACTAAAATTTATTAGAAGCGATTGCAGGCTTTTCCTTCCCCTAACCAGAGCATGTCTCGCAGGCTAATTCTGTCTGAACTGCCTTGCTCTCGGACAGACCGAGTATAAAGGCCACGTACCTCTTAAAATAACTCAATGGTGTATTGTAATTTGTTACTACAGGACAACAGGAGGAAACCTAAACTAACTTTAACTTTATACTTTCAAACTGCATGGAAAGTTTTATCAGTACTAGACTGTTATTTATCTTTGGACAATCTCTGCGATGATCTTTTATTAAAGGTCTCCCGTAATACAGAGGACAAATTGCATAATCTTTTGCCTTTTAATACGAACAGAAACTTACCTTTAAGAAACATTAGGAAATTTTCCGTCCCCACGTGTAATACGGACCGTTTTAAAAATTCCTTTATGAACATTACAGCTAGTCGTCACAATGAGTTTTATTGTAAATAGTTATATAGTTTTTATGATAATTTTCTAAATTACCTGTTGTTAACATAAGCCCCGTTTACACTACGCCCAATTTTTGGTACGGCACGGATAATATTGGTACCCGTACCATTTTTTTGGTTCTTGGACTACCTATTTAGGTAGTCCAAGGACCAAAAAGTGGTACGGTACCAAAAATTGAGCGTAGTGTAAACGAGGCTATAATCAATTCAGTTTGTAAACTGTAATTTATGTATAATTAATAAACAACAGCAACAGCCGCCGCCGCCGCCACCACCACCAACACCACCACCACCACCAACACCACCACCAACTTCTACTTCTACTACTACTACTGCTGCCGCTGCCGCTACCGCTACGGCTACCGCTATTGCTATTGCTGCTGCTGCTGCTGCTGCTGCCGCCGCTGCTGCTGCTGCTGCTGCTGCTGCTGCTGCTGCTGCTGCTGCTGCTGCTGCTACTCCTGCTCCTGCTACTGGACCAGTATTATACTACATAAAGAAACCATGGGGAGAAAACCTGCGCAGTTTTGCAAAGTCAACTGAAAACACTGATATATTCAAATAAGTGCATATTGCGGAAAGGAACTTTTAGCTGATTTCCAATCAAGCGGGGTTTTTTCGTACGTAAAGGCCATAGCAGGAAAAACGCACGTAAATTCATTTCGAGTAATGGGTAGAATTCTCTTCACAATATAAATAACAAAATCAAAATTCTGTAGATGGAAATTTTGAGCAAATTTTATACATTTATTAGACCACCATGCAGGAGCAGTTGCAAAAACTGTAGGCCCTCTGGTAGGAATTAGACATGTGGCCCTGCGAATGTGATTCCAGTGCGTAAGATACAGAAACTCCAAATCCATGAATTTATACTAAGATGCCGGATACCAGTTTCAGGGGCGTAGGAAGCATCAGAAGATTGAGGAGGTACCGGCTTCTAGGGGCACTTTAGGGTATTGAAAAGGGCACCTATAAAAATTTTCCCGGAAATGTTGGCGATGGGGGCCGGCGTGGGGGGGGGAAGAAAAATTTTTCCGTCGTACCATACCGAAATTGCACCTTTTTGTACAAATTGTTTTTAAAAACTTGGAAATTTCCAAACAAAAAGGGTACCTTTGATGTTAACTTAGTATTTACAGCGACATTAGCTTGTACAAAAAGGGCACTTTTCATCACAAAAAGGGCACTTTTCATCACAAAAAAGGGCACTTTTAGTCCTTTGAAAAAATTGGGGGGGGGGGGGCACGTGCTCCCCGTGCCCCCCCCGGTTCTACGCCCCTGACCAGTTTTACGGTGTGTGTATAAATATCAGGATATTGGACATCTTTACTTGATAGAACTAACTCTTGAAGGTTTTTTTGTAGATGAAAATTTTGAGTATAAATTTTATATCTTTATCCGGGAGCAGTTGCAAAAAGTACAACTATATAGGCCCACGCTCTGGCGGGAATGGAACCTGTGGCCCATATATGACCTTGCAGCTGGCCCTCGACAACTAAAATATTTAGCTCGCAGGGCTTACAGGTTCGATTCCTGCCAGAGGGCCTATAGCTGGCAACTGCTTCTGGTTTACAGGTCTAATAAATTATTAAAATCTACACTCGAAATTTCCATCCACAAAAGACCTTCAACATAAGAAAGTTCTACCGAGTGAGATGCCAAAATCCTGATAACAATATTCGTTTCATGTTTCAAATTTTGTTTAAATATTTAGCCATCAACACAAACGAGAGAAACGTTGTGGTAGTTCCAGATCACATAGAATTCCAGTTGATGTTGAGAGGAATGAGAATTTGATTGAAGATGATGTCAATCAAAGCTTTTGTTGGGAGAGGAGTACTCAACCGATAATTAACTATCAGATGTTCAGCGCGTATGTCATTGCATTTCATGATGTTTTCGAGGTTTCTATCCACTCTGTTGTGATGGGATTTTTAGTCTTACAACGACTTTGTGTTATGTGGATCATGTCTTAATCAGATTTGTGTGTTGTTGGCAGAGGTTAAAATAAATATGTTATCTTCATTTGTACATTGATGTTTGCATTATTGTAGTCCTAGCTTATATATATTGTAAATATTTAATACACACCTTAAACTGTGTAAAAATACACACCTTTTGGAAAAACACACCTCAAGGTGTGTGAATTTGGCGACAAGCAAACAAACACAAAAAACACATAAGGCGTGTTTTTACACACCTTAAGGCGTGTTTTTTACACACCTTTATCTTGCAAATACACACCTTAAGGTGTGCAAAAATACACACTTTTTCCGGAAAATGCACACCATAACGTGTGTAAAAAAACACGCCTTAAGGTATGTAAATTTGGCGACGGAAGATGTGTTGAAAACACATACCTATTTTTTAGAATGCGTCATTACAATTTTCACGTGATCCCAATCAGCTTTCTGATTGGGTGAGACATTGCGTAAATGTTTAAACGCGTGTAAAAAGTTGAACCGGGTTCAACTTATCCGTTTCCGCGTGCGTAGCACCCGTACGTAAACGTCACTGTATACGTACGTAATGAAAAACACAGCACTGGAAATCAGTCTTTAATCATGCTCATTTACAGAAGTGAAAGGCACATGCACTAACAACTGCACTACCAACACCCACGTATGATGCCAACAACAATAGCTGAAAACGTCCGCCAATGCATGCAACCATATACTGCGGATTCAGGTTGAGTGTTTAATGACGTCACGAGCGCATGATTATTGCAACACTCGAACGCACGCGTTGTCAAGTGGAAAACGTCTTGTTGCTAGGGCTAATAGCTGTATAAATAAATAAATTCGTAATCGCACAAATGCAGCATTATTTGTAGCCGTATATCATTCAAAAGCCCATTATTTGCAATATAATTTATAAAATTATACACACGCTTTTTGAAAAGGTAAACAGCCAGTTACTGATAATTTTTGAATCAAATATTAATTGTTAATACCGAGTTTTAACGGGGTTTTTATTATAAAAATGTGGCGCGTAAACGAGCACGGTCGATGTTTGCACAAGGAAAACCTCTATCGCAAGATCTCAGATTATTGATTATTAACAAAATTATACTTCACGGTGGTGATACTCACACAGGTATTTTTCCAGGGAAGTACACTGATATAGCGCACTCTCTGGGGGTATCTTCGGCAGTTGTATCCAATATTTGGAAACGTTTTTGCCATGCAGGATGGGACAACCAGCCCAAAAAAGAACAGAGGTGGAAATCCTAGTCATTTGTCTCAAGGCGATCTTCAGTACGTCGAGTTTTTGAAAAAACAACGGCCTTCTATTTCATACTATGAAATTATTGAGCAACTGAACGAGTTTGGGGACCTGCCATATGGCACAACGTCGACAACAGCCTTATCCGAAGCAGTTCGACATCGTCTTCCTAGTGGCAAGGAATACAGCTACAAGAAATTACAACCTATTGCCCAAGAGAGATTTACGCTACAGAACATGGCTTATACTCAACTATTCGTAAACTACCTAAACAGTAAAGATCCCTATACGTTAAAATTTTTCGATGAATGCGGACTAAAACTTCCACGACATGGAACACGCAGTTACGGCCACGCTCCAGTTGGAGAACGCGCAATTGAATGCCAGAGATACGCAGAATCTCCTAATACTACAGTTAATTTGATGTGTTCTTTAACTGGGGTTGACTATGTAAACACAGTTGACGGCGGTGCAGATACAATAGATTTCCTTGCTTTTTTCGAGGAGGCGTATAATTCCATAAACATACGAAGTGGACGACCCTGTTTAGATCCTGGGTCTGTGATAGTAATGGACAATTGCGCAACACATCATAACCAAGGTGGTTTCGTTTTGCAAGAATTCTTGAACGATCTCGATATTGAACTCGTATACATGCCAGCCTATTCACCTGACTTTAATCCGGCCGAGTATGTATTCGGAAAGATTCGCACTGTTATGAAATACAAATTTGGCGATATCACCACCGTAGCTCAGTTAGTTCAGTGCATGTATGCATCACTGGATTTCATTACTCCAGGTGACATGCGGGGATTTTTTGAAGTAACTGGTTATATAAACCTCTGAATCTAAAAATATTTTACTGATTAACATTTTGTTCCCCCTATCAGTAACACAGTCACAGTATGTGCGATTGCTGATGAAAAGCTGGACATAAAATATAAACGTTTAATGTTAAGCACTATAAGCTATATTAAAACAAAACATGAAATATGAACATTTCTAATGCCTGCAGTATACGTCGAATTCTGGTAGAGTCGAATGCAATTACTGTATAAAGACAATATTGAATAGATGACATGATAAACCTCATTAAACTTCGTGCATCTATTGTTTGAATTGCATTCGACGCGACCGAAATCGACGTATAAAACAGGCCCAATACTGTAAGTACTATATTAAACATTTAGAGGAGATCTTTTGTGTTGCGTGACAATAACTCAATTAATATTGATATTGCACCACAAACATTTTCGTAAAAACTGAAGCCCAAGACCAAATGAGCTATAATTAAATTAAACAGCTTTTGTCATATTTGAAATGGTATGCAATAACAGTATCATGTTGAGGTTTTTGTATACAAACATGCAATCTTCCCTTTATAAAACACAACAATACAGCACATATGCTGATAGAAGTATTAATAATAGTCTAAAGTATTTTCAAAATGTTACTTGTTTGAGAATAGTTCATTTTCTTGCTTTTAAATGTAACAAAGCGGCCGCCGCATCGGCTTCAAGTTGAAGGTCGTCATTGTCGTCTTCATCGATTACACTATCAGATGATACATTTTCAATCTCTTGTTGTTGTAGTTTAAGAGCCATATGAAAGTCGCTTTTGTCTTAAGAGCCATATGAAAGTCGCTTTTGTCTTGACCGTCTAAACACAATTGATTATTCGATTTACTACATAACTTTTTTGTTGGGAAGTTAATTCCATACTCTTCTTCAAGGACTCGCTTTTGGGGAGCCATCCGGTGGTCAGTGCCGTGAATGACTACCGAATGTGTGCTAGTTTTAGTAGTCATCGTTAAAGTTGACACCGACGTTTCTCTTACCAACGAATTTAGAAGGTTCATAACGTTATTTCGGGTTGGCAGGCTTCCCTTCAATTTACTCTGTAAAAGCATGACATCTTTGTTCAAAACTAACCAGTTTCTGCGTCCGCTAGTGATGTATCTATGCGGTTCTTCATTTACAAGGATATCCTCTATTCTTTTCTTAGAAGAATTGTTCAGTCACGTTTTCTAATGCGGTTCTAGCACTATGCATATCAGATCTCGCTTTTGTTATTTCGGTTTCGAGCTTCGACACCTCTTTCGTGAGGTTTGCCCTTGTCGATCTTTGATCATTGTGTTTTGCGAGGATTCCACATGAAAATGCTGATCTACACGGGCTAAAAGTGCATGATTTTCTGGTGTGACCAATTTTTAAGTGACAATTGCCACACGCAGACAAGTGGCCGCCGTTCTGGTGACAGGCATCACTTAATTTATTGTCAAAACATTCAAGCTCTCGAGTCTTCAGTTCTGCAATTTTTCGGAAATGTTTCGAATGCTTTCTTCGTGTTTCTTTGCGTGTCTTTCCAGCGGTAAAATCACTGAGTCTGTACTCGGACTTATTATGGTCTTGCTATTATCAGTTAGCTGAACTTGCATGTTTCCCTTTCCGCTATTTTGAACTAATTCCAAACGACGTTTGCTTCGAGGATTATCTGAAATATTTGTAACTTTAGCTGGCGCCTGTGTACCAAAGTGAACAAGCGGTGATTCATTTGCAACAACACGAATAACAATTGTTTTTAATCCTTTGTTCAAAATTCTCATCATCTGCGACTTGAAATACTTTGGTGAGAGATCTATTTCGGGTCGATTTTCTTCAATCAAAATCAGTCGCAATGAATCAGAGGGCGTTGGTGCTACCTTGGCAATGTGTGGAACTTCGCTTAACATACGCGAGTAAAAGCCATGATAAGATAAAGCCAGTAATTCATCGTTACCAATAAATAACGGTGTGATCCTGTTCTTTGAATAATACTGATAATCAAACTGAATTTCAATAAAATTATCCATCAAAACAATACAATATTAAGCCGAGTATAAAGACTATAAACGCGACAACTTATCGAAAACAACCACGCCTTTACAATACTTCCGCATAGCAACAAGATATTTTCCACTTGACAACGCATGCGTTTGAGTGTTGCAATAATCACACGCTCGTGACGTCATTAAACACTCAACCTGAATCCGCAGTAACTGTACTTGCCTTCACATTCAGGTTTTGATGTGGCATTAGCTTGGCCTTGGGGAACTAGATGTTGAACATTATATAAAAATGGCATTAAGATTGGTTGACATTGCTCATTTTTAACAAAAGATAAATTGCCGGTTTCACAAACTATATTGATCAGCATTCGCGCCCGTGACACCGTGTTCTATCAGATCAGGGTAACTGACATGTAAAACCTCTCGCCTTTGGCTTGAGTTTGTATATCTGAAACATCACGGCAGCAATAAGCTTAATGTTACGAACATCGAGATTTTGTTGGCATCTCACTCGATTGAATAATAGTTGAAGGGTATAATTGTAGATGGAAATTATCGAGTGGAAATTTATATACATTTATTAATCAATGTATATAATTTCCACTCGATAATTTCCAGTTATACAATACCCTTCAACTAATGTTACAATCTTGTCCCAGAGTATGCCCGTTCGCAGGTTAGGTGACGGGCATACTCTGGGTACGAGATTGCTAATGTTTATACGAACAGCCCATATAGTCTTGTTGGAACAATTTGGAGCACTTTCTGTTATACAATTGTCAACCTTGCGGTTGCATGTCACAAAATGATTACAGCTTGTTTAGTCCAGACTTAGGCTGGGTTTACACTTGTACCAGATAGCTTTCCGTAGCCGGGCGCGAAAAAGCACCTATATATCCGATACGGAATGTACAATTTAACAATTTTCAGAAGCTGAGCGAAACATCTTTACATTGCAATAATTCCTCCGAAAATAGCGTTTTTTAAAAGTTACGGATAGGTGTTTCTGTCACAACAACTGGGAACAAGCGGTGTGAAAACATCCTGATATCGACCGACCAATACTAGTTACAATTTGTTTGCAGATCTGTACGTTATAACAACTTGAGCATTTCTACGTGTATAGCCATAGGTCAGGCATAATTAATAATAAAGAAGAAATAAATTATAGTTTTTGGATACAGACGTAATATATATAAACAACATACCTGAGTTAACGGATGGTACCACGTAGCTGTAGGTTAGACCAAGAATTAGACAGAACAAAATATAACTTAAAGACAGTTCGTTTCTTTTCATCTAAGTTTAAATTGCAAGCATTCGTTATTAAATTGCAAACATTCGTTAACCGTTTTTATACTGAATAGTATTTTCAATTATAGTAATAGCAATAATATTAAACGTTTTGTTTATGACTATGTATATATGATATAACATTGTAAATAATAATAATACTTTTAGTAGCATGTAGTAATAGTAATATGCATGAGTAAAAGTTTTTGTTACGATTTTACCATTTTGCTGCCCTAAAACAGAGTTGAATTTTCGATACCTCTCTTAAGTTTACAAGTAATACAAAGATCTTGTTCTATTATATAATCACGTTGTTTACGGCTGTTTTCTTACAAGTGATTGGCGTGTATAACCATAGCCGCGTATATAGCCGTAGCCTACAGGATAAAATTCACGACTGTTCGTCGCCTGATCAAGGCCCATACAAACCGGACGCGACGCGAATTTTCAGTTTTCTGTTTTGTTTTTGAAATCTGAAAATTCGCGTCGCGTTGCCGAATCGCGTCCAGTCTGTGTGGGCCTTCAGTCAGTACGTTTGTTCCCAGTGGCGTAGCCAGCCGAGAATTTGGTCATGCTATGCAAATATTTTCGTGTTCACAAACCGTGAAAACAATCGATTTCTAAAGAAATGAATAATGATAATGATTTGATATTTGCATAGCATGACCAAATTGTCGGGCTGGCCATGCCACTGTTTGTTCCATAAAATTAATAATACACCAATCCATATTAAAGCCAATATTTGTAATTAACTTATGAGTTATGTTGTGCAAAATGAGCCCGAAACTACACCAGCTCTTAGTCTTAGAGCCGTGAATCTTTAAAGCACGATTGTAAAACTGTGTTTAACTAGGCTACCACAGTTACTAATTGTCAGGTTTTGTCAGAGTGTTCACACTGGCGATTGTAAGTTTAAACTAACCTTTACACATAATTCAGGCTCTGGATGTAAATATATATACCATGCGTCGATGTACTTGTTAACCGTTTTAACACAACGAGCAACGTTTACGACTACGTAAACTTACCTGCATATTAGGCAAATATGCCATGATTACAAATGAAATTACTGAACCCAGGATATTTTGAGAATCTAAACACGTTTTTGTTCTACGTGGCGTTGTGATTTTCTGAGATGGAACGAAAACAATAACTTGTCATTGACGATCCCACTTTAGCAAATCCTAACAGCTAGACGGTCAATATGTCGCTATTCTATGCAAATGTGAATTTAGTCTTTAATTTCCGTTTCAGGCCTCTCATCACGAATACATGAATAGATGTCATCTTCGCTTTGTTTAAGATCACGGCAAACCACACCCATTTACCTCTTGTGTACAACGACTAGATTCCAAGCCGCCAGAAGTAGTACTCAACAAATTGGCTACTCAGTATTGAACTAGAAATCGTCTCAAGTTCTATTAGATTACTCAAGTTCTATTAAATTAGATTGTATTACCAGAAAAACCCCTCGCCTAACTTTACAAACATTGGTTCAACATAAAGTATTCTCAATTACGCCAACACTGAACGCAGGTTCGCCTTGCCGTGTTATAGTAGCCATGGCAACACGATTATTGTTATTTTTTTATCATTGTTTTATAGGTCAGTCTATGGCTCAGTGTTTTTGCACCAAACACTGAACTATACATATTACTGGAGGACCTGCTCGGCATAAAAAAGTGAAGCCAAAAACATGGAGATTCCCCATGTACAAAAAATTCTCATCTTAGAATACATTGATACGAAGGAACTAGACTCCGAAATATCACCAACTCGAACCGACTAATTATAACCTCGTAGCTCAGTTGGCATAGCATTGGATTAGTATCCCAAAGGTCGCGGCTTTGATTCCCATCCTGGTTAGGCAAACTTTTCAGCTTGCCCGGTGTGGATGCACACTCAGAGTAACATCACAAACATGAGTGATGAGTTTTGACAAAATATTTTTACAATTTCATATCCGTTATCCAAGTCACCGTGAATTTTGTTCTGACTTGAAGCGGAGCAAAACGGCACTTTTCCTTCCACGTTGTTAAAACCAGCAAAATACGAGAAAATATTAATGTAATAAATATAAATATTAATATTATTTAAATATTAATGCTAAAAAAACTGCGAAAACCAGGGGACGGTTGTTCAAAAGCTGGTTAGCGTAATTCAACAAAAATTTCAAAGCAATGGCTTGCGTGCTTAGAAACATGAAGATAGTTTTCCACAATTCATGTCTGGGTCAATAGAAGTCAGTTTTATTTTTCAAAGTTTTGAAATAAACAGAAGTGCAAATGTACCCAAACCAAAACAGCGGGTTAAATTTTAACCCAGGGTAGCGCTAATCCAGCTTTGAACAACCGGCCACAGGGGGTGAAAACGTCGTCTGAAGCTCAAGATCGTGGTTGGTCAGTAGTAATTGCATGGGAATTACGGACCAGTTGTCATGGAAATAGCGCCAGCAAAGGTAAAAAATCCACCATGTTTTTGGCTTCACTTCTTCTGATGTATTTAGTTCCATATTGTAGCTATAGCGCTATATTGAAACCTAATTTTCTTCTTTCAAATCACCCATGGTTTGGTGGAAACGTCACGCAGAACGAGGCGTTTATCATCCAAGAATTCCACTAAATATGTTATCCCTAAATGTAAAACCACTACCTCAGCAATCATTCCTATGAAACACTATTGTAGATGAACTTAATTTGGAAACGGGCAGCGTTAGTTTTTTAAATTCGTCTAATTATTACCATAAAAATCCGAGTGAACATTTAGAACCACATGCCTGCATGAGGTGTTTTGTATAAATTCAGCTGTACGTTGTCTTAAGCCTGTTTTCCACTTCGCCCGTATCGTACCGTAACGTATCGGTGTGCATGCGCAGATTGAAAAGAGGTTTATAAATTCACGTACTTCCGGGTGTATTCGCGTATCAAAATAAAAAGTTCGTCGCAAGTCAACTTTTTGGCGTACTACGGAAGTACTAACCAATCAACTTTCACGAAATTTTGAAATTTAAAAACGTTTTCGTTACGTTACGGTACGGTACGGGCGAAGTGGAAAACAGGCTTAAACAGCCTTAAAGCTAATATCGCCAATATGTTGCTGCTAGTAGAAGTTGAAACTAAAGCTCATTTTAAGTGTTGGTACTACATGGGCGTACCGGAAGGAAAAATTTAGGGGGGCGGAAAGAAAATTACCCGACTTTTCGTGATTCTGCCCGACTGGTACCGAAAAATTTTTTCCGGAAAAATTATTCTGGCGCCCCCCCGTCGCCAAAAAAATTTCGGTCAGTGTACCATTTTAGGGGTCAAAAAATTTTTCCGGACATACCAAAATTTTTCGTATCATCATACAAATTTTCACAAAAAAATACATTTGCCACAAAATTGACAACATTTTCGACAAAATTGACAGAATTTGTCCCATTTATTTTTACAACAAACCAAAATTGCCCGACTGTTAATCGAATATTGCCCGACTGCCCAAAAAACTGGGGGGGCTAACGCCCCCCCCCCCGCCCAGTACGCCTATGGTTGGTAGTTAGTTTGCTAATAAGTCATTTATTTAAATAATTGTTTATGTAATATATTAAGAGGCAATTTTTTTCAATTTCGCGTATTTGCGATGAAAAGTGTTCAAAATCTAAAATATTTTTGGCGTTCCTCTCAAAATTACTTTGTTTTAGCTTTATTCTCTAGTTTATAGAGTTAGCTACCTTTTTAAATGCATCTGACGGTTGACAAACATAAAATAATAGTTAAAAATTGTTAATTAAAATACAATTATCAATGATGCTTTAAAATTGACAGCCATATAAGCAAAACTTACTGAACTTCAGACATCATTTTCTCTTTGGCGTATCATTTAAAATCTCTTCATTTTATCATTATTTTACAGATAAAGCACCTAACATACTTTTTAAGTTTGTTTGCCGATTGAGAAACGTATCGAAAAATAAAAATTTTGAATTTAGTCATACCTCAAGTGGTATATTATATGCATTAGTTTTGAGCGCGTAACATACAAAAAAACTTCTCTTAATCGTTTATTGGGCCCGCAGTAATTGGCAACTAGCTGTTGCGGTGTCCCTGCCAAATCTTTCTTGTAATTATATATAAGTGCATGTAAATTTTCGTTATTAATAATGTTCGATTCCCACCGTACGGTGACTAAGCAAACTTTTCAGCTTGCCCGGTGTGGATGCATACTCAGAGTAACATCACAAACATAATAATGGCAAAGTTAATAAATTAAATAAGCTAAATTAAATTATTCAATAACATTTTCCTGGGGTTACCAGTAGTCTTCGAACTGGCAGACCCAGCCACTATTGCTTATGGAATGTGCCGTGATAAAAATTTCATAAAATTAGGCGTGGTTCAAGTAATAAAATTTCAGAGATTCACAGCTAATACGATTTTTGTGTAATTCCCCTCGATGTAAACTGATCTGCAGCATGATGAAAGCCATCTATACGCAAGACTATTTCTCGAGCAATATGTGGCTTTCAAGCAATCCTACGATACCTTAACACAAAAGCAGATGGAGTGCAAGTTGTGATTCTATCAAGATTCTTTTGTATAAATACTCTCCATGTGCACTGAACTGTAGCATGATGGAAGCCACCTATTGGTAATTGGTTTGGGGATACTTAAGCTTATACATCTTGCATTGTATATATCCTCTTTATTTAGAAAATTGAGAGGTCACATTGGAAGGTGCGGCATTGTTTGCTATCAGCTGAAAATTCGCGAGAAATTTTATGGAGGATTGTAATGAAATAACCGGAATTTAACATATTCTCTGCCAATATCTGCCTGCATTTTTTTCTATTTTTCCCCTGTCTTGTACTCTTGTACGCCTATGGGTAACAGTAGTAGAAAGCAATATGAACCTCTCTAGAGCAAGGGTATCGAGAGATGTACAACCAATCAATGCAAATTGCGCAACCATTAAAATATACATGCATATGGACAATTTTCAAAATGGCCGCCAAACTGAAAATTTCAAAACTTTAATATACGAGTGCAAATTAAAAAGGCTGTTTTTGCCAAACACATTAAAAATGGCTTCCGCACAATTTGAATTCATAGGCAAGTTTAAATTAATAAAAATGTGCTTCATGCGTGGACAATCAAATCAAAGAACTTCGACATTTTAGTTTCATTAACTTCATGCATGATTGATTTCATATATACATTTCACGCATGATTAAATTTCTTTCGTTCACTTGTTCAAATCCCCCAAAATTCCAAGTTTTACGGGTCGGGGATGGACATGATGCCTATCAAATTGTTTCGTAATTTGATACATAGTTGATACATAGGCGGTTGATATCTGACCAAATTTGGATTCAGGTTGTGTTAAAACCTTCCATTTTTGTGCAGAAGCCATTTCCAATGTGATTTAATTTGCAAAAGCAGTGTTGAAAAAAGTCAAAAGATCCTTAGTTGTGGAAATTTGGAAGTTGTGGAAATTTCAATTAAGTACTAGTAGTCATTTTGTCAGTTATACTCTTTGATAACCCTTTATTGCTGTATCAGTTCCGAAAGTTTCTAGAAATCCTATCAAAAGATTTGAAAACCTGCGGTGTCAGATGGCCTATAGTCTAGTCAGACTGGCCTATTTTTCACATCATGCGACATCAAGGCGATGATTAATTAATACAGAGAAAAAAATGGAGTGTGACACGTAAGGAATAACCTTGATACAGGGTGTTATAGCTACAGTAAAAAATTCGGCGAATCTGAATGAAACTAAAAACTTGAAAGCAATTCTTTCAATATCTTACTTATAAACATAGAGATGTTTTTTTAGAAATCTTGTCTTGATCATTGGAAGTTCTATTTTCTACGTTTTTGAATTAAACGGATTAGCAGGTAGTACTATATACTACATGTACCCAAACTAAAAGAGCTTTAAATTGTAGGGGGACAGGGTTAGCGCGCGAATCCAGCTCTGAACAACCGGCGCCTGAACTGAAAAACTACTGTGCCACCAATCTCTGATGTTATTATCGTCCCTAATCGCCAGTTAATCGGCTAATATAAATGACTTTTTCTTGAGTGTAAAATATAACATCGCAGAGTTACGTCAGTTAATATACGCCATTCCAATACCACTCCTTTCTTCCTCAATTCTTCTCGACATGGCCATATATTTAGGCGCTTTGTGGAATATTTACGATCAGTGTTTTGATGAAGCGCCGTTCCCCCAAAAGATGCTTCTTTCTTAATTAAAATAAGGTGCAGATATGAAAAGATGCTTCTTTCTTAATTAAAATAAGGTGCAGATATTAAATCTTTAATATCTTAAATATTTTATCATTTAGAGTTAAATTATTTATGGCTTTATAATTTCTACATCGTTCATTGCCTTATTCTTATTCACATCTTCCTACTTCTTTGTGAAACAATTAGGTTTGCGTATGTTTCAAATTTTATTAATTAAAGTTTTAGTTTTATTCAATTGCATTAAAAACGGCGTCAGACTGTTTTTGTTGTCTCATAAGTCATATTGTTATTATTCTTTCAATGTAGACAAATGCAGTTTAATATTAATCATGCGCAATTATATCAAAAACAAAGTAAGATGGACTTCTTGTTTAATTTATAAAAACAGATGGAGGTTATCGGCGCATACATAATCCGCAAAATAATTCAAAACAGATCGAAACTATTGCTTACTACCACTCTAATAGTATCGATTATAACAAAACTTCGGTTGATAGTTGGGATGCAACTATACGTGAAAAATACAAGAAGAACTTCGACCGGTTTCAAGCGAAGGCCCTTCGATTGTCTTAAGCCGAAGTTCTCCTTGTATTTCCAGGTAGTAGTTAATTGCAATTAACCCTATCAACCAAAGTTTTGTATTTATTATTGGCACTACCTACACTGGTACAGACCGTTCAAGATTAAGCCGGTTTTCCACTTCAAGTGTACCGGACCGAAACGTATCAAAAACGTTTTTAAATTTCAAAATTTCGTGAAAGTTGATTGGTTAGTAATTCCGTAGTACGCCAAAAAGTTGACTTGCGACGAACTTTTTATTTTGATACGCGAATACATCCCGAATTCGAAGTACGTGGATTTATAAACCTCTTTTTAATCTGCGCATGCTTACCAGTACGTTTCGGTACAATACGGGCGAAGTGGAAAACCGGCTTTAGTATCGATTATTCCTTTGTTTCACCACATAACACATTGGACAAATATGAAGATTTTTATTAATGCCAAAACACTCTTTCCTCTATGATAATGATCAAGATTTTTAAAAAAATTATTTTTTAAACAGTCGTTTTGTTTTCGGTTTTTCTTTCTTAATCTTGTGCAATAAAATTACACTCACACGCAAAACACTATAATTATTCAAATTAAACCTAAAATTAGTTAATACCTGACGCAGACATTAATAATTAAGAGCGGCATGCCAATTATTTTAATCAGCATGAAATCGACCGACGGCCTTAGCACGTTTAGCCTTTATGTTCCAATGTGGGTAAAAAAATCTTGTCAAAAAAGGAAAATTTCATTGTATTCATCAGGTAGGCCTATAATAATTATAATAATGAAAATCAATAAATATACATCTTTACTATAAAAGTTTAAAAACTTTCTAAATTCTAATAACTCTGTCCACTTCGCTCAATGACATCTGACAATTTGCCCTGGATCAGATGTCGCTCTATTTCATTAGAGTTGTTAATCAATTGTTCAAATTTTATTAAATGTATCAAGAATAATTAAAAATAATTTTGTTACAAAACAATCACGGTGGCAATTCTGTATAAAAGGCATATTTTTACGAGAACTGAACAGTATACATATAGTCTGCGTCTCGTTGATTTTAATTGTTACTGTAACGAAAGATGAATTTCTACATATTTTTGGCTTTATTTTTTGCTGTTTTCTCAGGTATGTTAAAATTTAATTCAGAATTTTTCCTTTGTTAGAGAAATAAAGTAGTTATATTTTTAAATTTAGCCTGAAAGCTATTGTTGATTGCATGGATTTGTATATGGATATGAACAGAAACGACTCATATATAGGGTGTATAAAAAAAAACTGAACAGATATAAATTTGCTCTCAATTTCGAAAAACAGCTATTAGTATCCAGTTTTTGACGTATATAGCTTCTTTGGGTACTTGTAATGTAGAATAATGAAAAAAATTTCTCGAACTCAAATTTTGTGAACCAGGGGGGTGTGTCTTTTCCAACAAATTAAAAATGGCTTGCGCACGAAATTTAAAAGCTTTAATCATATTTTGAGTTAATAGATGGGAAATTTGTTGGGTTTTTAATTACTGTACAAAATGTCAGACAATTTGCTTTAGTTTAAAACCTTTAACTATTCGCGCAAACTTACATTTTTTCCGAAATCAGCTATTTGCATGCTTAATTAATGCCTTTGGCTAATTTGCATATGTCAGCAATATGCACATTAGGTAAAGGCATTAATTAAGCATGCGAAAGGTTAATTTTTTAGGAAAAAATGAATAGCTAACGGGCTTAAACTAAAGCAAATTGTCTGAAATTTTGTACAGTAATTAAAAACCCAACACATTTTCCATCTATTAACTCAACCGAAATATGATTAAAGCTATTAAATTTCGTGCGCACCCCCCTGGTTCACAAAATTTGAAGAAATTTTTTTCAAGAAATTTTTTTCATTATTCTACATTATAAGTACCCAGAGAAGCTATATACATCAAAAACTGGATACTGATAGCTGTTTTGCAAACTATTGAGAGCAATTTCAAATCTGTTCCGTTTTTTTTTATACATCCTGTATATTTAATACATGCATGCATGGGTTGAAATTGAATGTGTTTGAATTAACTACCCAACAGACTGACCATGCCATAATCTGGCGCGGAAACGGAATATTGAATGCTGTATAGTTGTACGTACTGACTAATCCGAATACTTAGTTGTATACTATATATATACTAATATAAGACTAAGTTTGAATTGGGAGATTAGAGTCTCTGAAATGCCATTTCCTGGACTTTGTGGGGAAGGTTTGACAGAAATCTGATGGTCAGGAAACGGGATTATAACGTGTCGAAATTTGCAATTTGGTTATAGAATTTAGTAGTAGTACTTGAATTGGGCAATGCTGACTAATTCCAGCGATTAATCTAATCCCAATTATATTCTCTACTGATCTAGTGATCTGAATAGATTTACAACTTACAGCTCCTTTATACAATAACACACGGACCCCACGTATATGCATTTTAAGGTTTCCTTGCTTGGCTGCCAAGGGCGCGTTTCAGCATCATTTTATTACTTACATTACTCATGAGTCATGATGTTTCTTGCACAAACAACTAAATTGCGTACACAACTTAAAATTATCATATAAAAACTATCTAATTTGCGCCGCTCTCGTGATGCATAATAAAGGGCATAATACCAGCAAAAAAAGGGCATAATTCCCGTGACCGCGCCGAAACCTGACTAATATTCCGGCAATGAAACATTGTGTGTGATCACTGATCATATATGAACGATTTTGTGTGAGCCGTAAGGTAGGCTAGCAAATTAGCAAATAAGGTTAGACAAAATAGTCTGCAATTTAATATATCACTTTGTTGCAGTCTATGCGATTAGTCTGTCTATAAGCCTATGAATTAAACACATCTTTTCTTGGCGGAAGTAAATATATTTTTGCAAATGCGTTTTTTCCCACCCACTTTCAAAATTTGGCGCCCCCTTTTCATTTTTGCGCCCTCCAAAAATTGCCAGCTGGGGGGGCCATGGCCCCCCGGCCCCCCCTGCCAGCACGCCACTGTATACGGTGGGAATTACGAATATTTCAGGTAGGAATAGGAATATTCGTAGTAAAACTGAAAAACATGAATATTTGAAACGAAATGGGATTGAATATTAGTCCAGAGATGATATTTCAGGACTTTTAAATTAGTAAATGTATAAGAATACTGAATGAGAATATCCCGCCGCTTCCACCTCGACTACAAGGCGAATGAGACTGAGAGGGGCAACAAATGGATCATTAGTAATTAGCTTTATACCCATGTTGAGATTGCATTTGTTGCTATCGAAAGTAACAGTCCTTCTTGGAGCAAATCGAGGAACAAATAACATGGGGAAAAGGACACACAATTTTCCGTCTATAAATATTATCATTTTGGTCATCGGTGAAAAATATCCCCATTAGTACAGCAGCTAGCATATACATGATCGGAAGAATGTGTTTAAATCAGGCAGCACAAGCATATATGAAATAACTCATTAATAATTCATGCTAAATTAGCCAACCGTGCATGCTTATTGCTTTATTTTGCTCACATGATAATACTGGATATACCTGGTAAAGTATATTGATCCCTCCCGGCAGTCCCAGCTAGGACTGGATCAAAATTAATCCAAACTTTGCACGGACTGGATCAAAATTAATTCACCTCACTTTAAAGCCCCGTTTACACTACACTCATTTTTGGCACGGCACTCTTAAATAATGGCACGCGGACCAAATTTTTAGGCACGGCACTCTTAATTTTTGCAGTGTAAACGCAAAATTAAGGGTCCGCGTGCCATAATTGTTTGACGGGCCGAGACCTCCTCAGCCCCGTTTACACGACAAGCGTTTTGGGTACGGCACTCTTAAATTTAGGCACGCGGACCATTGCTTATAAAACGCCCGCTTGGTTTACACGACAAATTTCAAGCGGACTTGTTTTAGCAACAGGCACCCCTAATCACAAAAACGGTCCGCCTAAAAAATGAGCCCTCGTACGCTATTGCTAGCGGTTATGAACAAAAAAATAATAATTTCGCGTTTTTTGGCGGGCTTTTTAATTAAACATGGCGAACAATATGAGAAAGAGATTGGCTTATGTCTGGTTTATGAAGTTAAAGCGAAAAAGGGATATCGTGCAGAATACATGGCCAGAATGTGCTTATTCATCACGAATACCTCGAGATAAAATACACAAACGTCGACTTTTGTTTGTTGAAGCTATATTAGCATATTTACATCGTCCACGAATTAGGGATTTGTGGATGCACCCACGATCGTTAATATGGTTTGACATGGTTGATGAAACATTTTGTGACGAGCTATGGTATGCTAATTTTCGAGTGAGAAAACAAACTTTTTCATTAATCCTCGAGAAAGTTGAGCGAGATATATGTCGTATCAGTACACCTATGCGTATAGCTGTTTCTGCCAGGCGACGACTTGCCTTAACATTATATTTCCTGGCCTCCACTGCCGAGTATAGGACGATCGGGAATCTATTTGGTGTATCGCGATCATTTACGTGCCAGTGTGTAAAAGAAGTGTGCTGCGCGATAATAAAGCAGTTTCCAAAGGCTATCACTTTCCCGAAAGGAGATGAATTACATCAAGTTCTTCAGGGTTATGAAGAAAGGTGGGGGTTCCCCATGTGCGCCGGTGCAATCGATGGCACACACATACCAATACTGGCACCTACGGATAATCACGTAGAATATGTCAACCGTAAAGGTTTTCACAGCGTTCTCATGCAAGCAGTAACTGATTGCAATTATTTATTTCGGGATGTTGTGATTGGGTGGCCTGGAAGCGTGCATGATGCTCGAGTTTTTTCAAATTCCACAATTTTTAGAAGGGGAAATGAGCAACAACTTTTCCCCCGCGATCTTGTAAAGGAAATTTGTGGAGTGGACATACCACCATTTCTTGTGGGTGATCCAGCGTACCCCCTCCTTCCATGGTTACTTAAGGGATATCCTAGAAACGAGGCTTCCGAAAACCAGCGAAAGTTTAATTACCAACTTAGCCGCGCACGAATGACAGTGGAAAATACATTCGGTCGATGGAAAGGTAGATTCCCCAGGTTTCATAAACGAGTTGATATGGAAGTACCTTCATTAATAGAGGTTGTTCATGCATCTTGCGTTTTACATAACATTTGTGAAATTCGGAAAGATGACTTTTTGCCCAACTGGGAGGAGCCCAACGTTTTTGAAGAGCAAATTGTGGCATTTGATGAGATTGATGCACCTGATGTCGAGAGGATTCGCAGTGCTTTGACCGAGCATTTCTCTTAAGCATTACATGCTTTAACATATAAATTATACATTACAGTCTACGATCAAGATGACAAGAGAGACATGTGTGTATGAAATTTGCTTTTTGCAGTCACAAGAACGTTAACTCGAAAGCACCTTCCCCCATTAAATATTATGTTTGACATACTCTATTAAAGTTTTACTCCTGTATATAAATACAGTATATATGTACAAAACTCAACTATGTCCACCTGTTCATTTATATAGTTTGAAAGAACTTATATAGTTTCAACTTAATATAAAAATAAGTATTTTTGTAACTCTGATATTCAAGTTTATCTTCAAAGTTTAAAATACGTTGCGTCGCCATTTGAGTATGTGATATCATTGCCATTGCCATTGCCAGGATCAACACTATTGTATGTTGGATGGTAGAAAACAGGATTGTTGAAATTGTTACCAGATGAAACACCGTGTGGAGGTTGTTGAGGGGACAAAATCATACGTAACATGTTCATTTCATGTTGCCGTTCTTCTTTCCTCCGTTCACTTTCTATCTGCATCTGTTTAATCCGAAACTCGTGTTCTCTCTTAATACGCTCTTCTTCAAGTTTTTGATATCTAAAACAAAAAATGCGGAAGAAAGCAATTACTGTAAAACACATCACAAAATAGACCAATTATAACGAATATAATGTAATTTACCATTGCTAAACATGTGGCAAACTTGTTTAACAATTACAGTCAAAACAATCCATCACGTTTGTTTAAGATTTCTCATTTCTCCCAACGTACTCAACTATTCAGTTCAAATTATGTTAAATTTAATTCATTAAAGTTGGATACAGAAAGCATTCACACCAAGCTAACTTAAGTACTGTAACTTCGCCTTCGGTAGCTTCTATTTCAACCTTCATATTATTATTTTAGCAGTTAACGAATCAATTTTCAAAATCATCGTCATTATTGCTTACAACCAACCTTTCAAAATCGGTTGCTGCAGATTGCTTTTCTTTTTTCTCTTTGGCAGTACTAGCGTTTTCTCTTTGCTTGCTTCGTTTCCTGCGTTATTTAGTTGCTCTTCAGATGCACCAGGTCCAGGATCACCTTCATGAGAACTGTCATGATGACTTCCTTTAAAAGAATAAGGATTGATGTTTATATTGACAGTTCAAAGTTAGTGAAATTATCAGTTTTGGCTGAAACTGGAGTTGTAAAAAATAAGGGTTTCTGCCATACCTTACATGAAATTCGCCAGAACGTTATCAGTCCGCGAAATAAGTTTTTAAAATATTTTAATAAATTATTACTTTATAGTTGCTTTAGATATCTGGGCATCTCTTACCAGAACATTTGCTTGGTAGCTGATCATTCTCACTTGAATCACATTTAGGGCAATGGAATTCATCTTCACTGGAAAAAACCATGACAGATCCACCTTCCGAAACATGGACACCACTAGATCTTATTTCCTGTTCGTAATCACAACTTCTACACTTGTAGACACTAGTTTCTCCTTGACCATATTTATCAACCATAATATCAACTTTATTGAAATAAAGAGAAACTATAAATGAAAACCTATCAGGTGCAATTTAATCAACTTTTATGAGATTTTACACAGACTGACAAAACTGGCTAGAGAACAATAGAAAACAAATAAGCACTAGCTTCCAAGCCTATTTGACACCCAGAGAAACTGGTTTGGCATGGTCGCAATGAACTTTAGACTGATGAAACCCAGTCACTCATGATTTGCTTAGGTAGATGGTTAATGTCCAGCTGTTTACAAAAATCTGATATATCACGATTGTGTCGTATGTAATACTATATACTACCACAGATTACACATTCCAGGAAATCTTAATAGCTCATTTTATATTCATTACAATGAGTCATTTCCGAAGACATTTTGTTCCCAAGACATTTTCGATCTGCAAGCCCAAATTCTTCATCAGAATATATTATTAGCACTGACGAAGACCCAGGCTTATGGATTGAAAGCTTTGCACTAAATATATGTGATGTTTTTCACAAAACAATAGTTACTTCAAAAACGGTAAGCATTTTGAAAAAATTCAATCTATGTTTCGACTAGATTTTAATTTTATTAAAATGCTCAGTGGTTCCCGAAATTTCTGGCATGTTCTCCACAAGGCAATAGATATGAATTGTTTATTTTCTGGATATCTTTCAGGTGTTGCTCTGTTTAAAGTGCATATGACATGAAATTTCTTATTTTCTTAAATGAAAGAACTCTTTAAGTTGTAGTGTAACTTATTTTTAGTTTCTTGTTTTTATGGTTTGTTCCCGAGTTATTTCAATTTGTTTGATATGTAAATGAGTGCAAATATGTCCGCTAATTTATGACGTCATGTTGGTTGCAAGCTCTTCAAAATGGTTGGATATCACTGCTATCATCCAAGATGATCATTTCAAACTTCACTCACTGGTAAATGTGATGAAACACTGGAGAAAAACGTGAACTGATATCTACAGTTTTTAGAGTTAATAGATTTATAACCAGTGTAAGTTGAGCTTGCAACCAACATGACGTCATGAATTAACGGACATATTCACGCTCATTTACATATCAAACAAATTAAAATATCTCGGGAACAAACCACAAAAACAAGAAACTGGAAAATGAGTTACACTACAACTTAAAGAGTTCTCTCATTTTAGAAAATAAGAAATTTCATGTCATATACACTTTAAGGAGAAATTTTTTGGACATTTCAAGTAATTGTTTTCAATTAATAGGCAAATCAGTGTACCCTTATTTTCTTCCTGTAATGAATACTGTATGTACTGTAGTGTTGTCTAATCAAATACCTGGACCAGATCTGTTATCCAACTCTTCTACTTGTCCATTATCCATCTCAGAATTATCTTCTGCCATCGTGTCAACAACAACTGGGGGAGTGACATTGTGTCTTGTTGTCAAAAATAAGTCAATATCATTAAAAAATTTCCACTTTTTACATGCACCATTGCCTGATCGCTTTGCTTTATCTTTTTCTTGTTTATATTTCTGACGAAGCTTTTTAATTTTGTTGATAACTTCCTTCAGAGTATAACCTTTATATCCCTTCTCTTCCAGTTGGTGCTGCTCATTATAAATTAAGTATAAATTAAACATTACATACCATATCCCCCCCCCCCTTTCTACTTAGCCCCCACTCCAGAAGTGCTGGAAAAAATCAGTCCCACCCTTTATTTAGCACTCATCCACTATTACAGGAAGTAAATCATTCTCAACATAAACTTACAGCACAAACATAATATAACGTTCACTGATGCTGTATATAAATTGTATTACAAGTAAACTACATCAATTAAGCGCTCCTCAATGTTTTTAATTCTTAACCCATTTGGATTTTTCCTACAGTACATAAGATTGCACATTTGAAAAATTTCTTTGCAAATTCCTTCAGCAAATTTACAACTTTCCTAAGCTAACTAACGTTTCCTCACTTCCTGTTTAAAGTTTCTAGAAAAGTTGAATCCGAAGATTCCTTTTGCATGTTACAAACTTTACTTTCGCATGTAAATTCCTTTGTAATTGACATTACAATTACAATCAAAATCTGGTACCGGTACAAAGAACAAATATTTGTGTTGGTTTTATAACATCTTTTACATATGCTGGCCCACCCAGTTTATATAAAAAAATTTCAGTCTTTCCGGTTTGTACTGTTTCAGTTAATATACTGTATATTAATAGCAGTGTATCGATGTTTATGGGAATTATATTTTGAATAATAATTTGAATAATCCCTTTTTTATATACTTACTATGGTAGTGCAACTGCACCTGCAGTGAGAGACATTTAATTGGCTTAGGAACATTGCAAATTACTTCAAAGGATTTGCAACAACGTTTTAGGAAAATTACAGGACTGGTATATATAATTAGAAAAATTCCAAATGGGTTAGGAACACTTGAACATCAGTTCATGTGGTTTACCTGTAAAATGTATTGAAATGCTTCTTAATTAAATGATGAGTAATATTAAAAAGTTAGTCCCAGCCTCTATTAAGCCCCCAGGCTAAAAGTCATGTTACACGAGGTAATTTTTGTTGCAAATTGCAATGCAATTTCTGACACAGAGCCATGTTTCTAAAAACTAAAAAGGAATGGCAGGGAAATTGTGAGTCGATCTGCCAACATTCTTCATGCCATTTCTTTAATTTTCATCCCTTGGTAGTATGTTATGTCAAGAAATTGTTGGCTGAATAGAAAGCGGGCCTGCCCACACTTTCTATGTGACTTACTACTTTTTTATAACATGGCTCTGTATCCGAAATATTTGCATTGCACGTTGCAGCAAAAATTGCCCCGTGTATTACTGTAACTATTAACAACAACAGTATAAAACATGGCCTTAAAATTATAGAGGGAATACGATAGTTAACTATATATTCTGTCCCGCTATTTACATGGGCTATTAGGTTAGGTAACAATGAATAGAAATAAAACTTTAAATATTCACAATTTTCATGAATACTCACCAGTAATATTTGGTAAACATTGGAAGTTTGACGAGATGTTTTACAGGAATCTAAAGAAACCTGTATTGTCTCCTCCGACCACAACTGTATTAGGCATTTTGTCGCATTGTCAGGCCATAACGTGCCTCTCGTTTTCTTTTCAGCAGACGCCATATTGATATTGTATAGTTACTTCGAAACAAAAGCCAATAGCGCATGCGTAATTAATTTTGGGTCCGCGTGCTGCTTTATTGGCGGGCCGAGGCTACCTCTGGAGATGGTCTCGGCCCGCCAAAAATTTTGGGCACGCGGACCTATCTTGTCACCGTTTACACGACAAAAATTAAGAGTGCCGTGCCGGAATTTATAGGTCCGCGTGCCTAAATTTAAGACTGCCGTACCCAAAACGCTTGTCGTGTAAACGGGGCTTTAGTTACCTTTGTTCTAATTTATGCTTTTGTAGTCTAGATTTCGAACCATAGTAACTAGGCATGTGTGTTGTATAAAGTTGTGAATTGGGTATAAACAAACGTTACCCAAATTTGTCTAATCGAGCTAGTATATGCATTTTCATAAAAATAGCAACCTTTCGGCAAAACTGGATTCTGATTATCATATTGAGCGACATCAAAATCATGGGAGTTTCTGCAAAGTGCATTAAACCGATATTACCTGTAGCACTATTTCATGACCTAAACATCGCACAGAGACACTTATGTACGTTTTCTATTCACAGTGGTCGTTCAGACATGCACCTCCCGCCGTGGGAGCGGCAGATCAAGGTCATAATCAGGAGATTATGGTATTGTGTCATATTGACAAAGTTCTTATTATATTACCAATATATTACTTAATAACATTAAACGATATCAGGGTCGTAGACACCAGCAAAATCGTTGTAACTGTACTACTGTATGTGTATATTGAATCTCCCTATGTAAAAGAATCCGGATTTCGGAATGCAACAAAAATTTGCACTTCAGAATCCGGAATCCATGACGTAGAATCCGGAATCCATTGACTCGGATCCGGAATCCATTATTTTAATCATGGAATACGGAATCCAGCTTTCATACTTTATAAAATATAATGGTTTTGTAGCGTGACACATCAAACCCTTTGCATCATACCTTAACGTACGTGATCTCATTAAATTCATGCAATACAAGTATCCCCGCCTCATAAAATTTACATGGTGTTAATGAGAACAAACAAACTAACTCAGAATTATGCACTTGGGCGCAACAGGAGCGCGCAAATTTTTTGACTACCTCGCCGAAATAATTGAATCTTTAGTCGAATTACTGGTGCGTTGGAAACACTGATCGTTTTTGACTGTTTTTGCCAAGATATTGAGTCGAATTGAAACATATTTATAAAATATTATTCAACGAAAAAGTTAGGAATGGGAAAAAAGCACAAGAAACAAAGTAGAGAGAAAACTGATGACCGGAATAGACGACTATTGAGGGTGGGAAAGGGTAATTTTCGTATCGTTTTAATCGGCATCGAGTACGGAAAATGTATTCTTTTATTGAATATTCGGATTCAAAACATCTTTCGAATGATTTGTGCAATCATTCGCTTCATTGCTATCTCTTTGTTCAACGTCAAGATTATGATTCGATTAATTATTTTTCTACACTATACTGGCATTCGACTCGGCGATAATAACCGCATAACAGTAATTAAACTGTCCGGCGAGAGGGGTGTTGGGGGGGGGGGGCGGTTGGGGCAGGTGGCAAAATACCTGGAGCCCGGAGTGCACCCAGGGGCCCGCAAATCTCGGTAAAACATTCGTATTGCTTTACGCCTACTTGCACACTATCCGCCGATATTCTGATCGATCGTAAAACGCACCAAATGTTAATTAAACGATTTTTCCATCGTTTTGTCAGAAAAAACAGTTAGCTGAACATCGTTCACGTTGTATTTTCATCACTTATGCGACAAGAATTCCGCCGGCAATTGTCTCTTGATTGCGATAAAAAATAGCTAGAGGGAGAGTCAAGACGGACTCAAGTCCATGTTCACCAATCGTCATTTTGCGCAGGTGCCTGTGGTTGGCGGCTTGGCGCAGCCTTGAGTACTATAACAAACGTACTTGCAGGGAGGTGCGTCCAATCCCGGACTCACCGAACCTGCAAGTACGTTTGGTTTTTATCCCATACACCGAGCCATACACACATTTGTAGCTCTTCGCGATATATTCGTCGACGTTTTGTGAACATTTTTCCGGCCAAAAAAATCGCTGGGCAAGAAAATACTTCTTTATCTACGTCTACATTACCTTTACCGCATTTTTTCTTTGGTTTTTCTTCAGTCTCAGTATGTTAGTCACCGAAAAAAGTTCTTTAAAGTTTAGGTTTATCGGCTAAATCTTGTCCGCCATATTTGTTATTGTTATTGCAACGTGAGCAGTTTAGCGGGTGATCTCGGGCGAAAAGCAGGTGAGTTCGGCAAAAAGCAGGTGAGCTCGACGACAAGCTCACCTGCTCTAAACCAATCAGAAAGCCGCTTTTAACACAGGTATGGGATAAGGATGGAAGAGTAATAAGGCTGAACTGTTGACAACCGACATGGGATGACAAAATGGCGCCGAATTTGGACAAAGTTGTGGATTTACCTTGTCGATGGTTAAACAGGTATGATCTACTTGAAACCAAGTTGAAACTTTTAAAATGTTCTTGATACCATTATGTCTGAGATGATTTACATTTTTTGTAGGATGTCGACGAGATCGCCGATAAACAGCGGAGTAAAGTGGAGAACTTGGTCAAATACGTCCATTTGCAGGAGGTAGGCACATTTCAAATTATTATTTCGGTCAGAAAATATTAACTATTTACACCAAACCAGTGATAATATATTTAAATAAGTACCAATTATGTTTCTATCAAAAAGATTTAGGGAAAAAGGTAATGTAAGTCCACTGCTGTTTATCTGAAGTTGCAAGCCACAAATTGACGTTTAACTATGATTATTGCATGGTCATTTTCTTGTGAAATATTAGTGCTAGGCATTTCACACGTACCAATGACCACCCCAAAAGTACCATCTCTGAACCATATAAGCACCTCAGAATAGCCAAAGCTTTTATGGTTTGGTAGATAGCAGTATGGCGAAAGCGTCGTTTTTGGGTGTGGTCAGTTTCGGACGTTTCGTCCCGGATTGGGGTTTGGGCAGCGTTACCATGTTGACCGTCATGGTCAACTTGTCCTAAAACAGTTGAGATTATCTGTCCTAATTGAAATGCATACAAACTCATATACAGGTCCTAGACTAGGTTCCTGGCTTCCGGCGACGGATTATCCTTCCCGAGGAACGCAGGCTCAGGGAACGATATTGCGGATGACTGTGGTTTAATTTTCTAATTTTGATATATAAGAGTTACTATCTAGCGCAAGCATGGCTTCCACAAAATTGAAATGTAAAACATGAAACACAACTTGCATGAAACACTGATTGGTTTGGCAAAACAAATCGCTGCGAGAAAGATGTATCAGTTTTCTTTATTCAAAAGATTCCATCCCGTACCATGATGGTGGATTAATTTAATTTTTCGTTTATGTTTTTGCTTTTATTCAATTATTCTCCAGATCTGTTGCGAAATCTCGCAGGGAAAGACCCTGGCCTGAAGCAGGGGATGACTGCATTCTCGTACCCAGAGCCCTTCTTACGCGCGGTCAACCGAGCGCGACGAGGGGCTCTGGCCAAATCCATAACCGGATACCATAAAAACATGGTATCCGGTTAAACACTGCGCATGCTCAACGTCAAACGCGGATAAACACTTCGGTTTTCTTGTTTGTTTCGTTTTGAAAGTTTTTCTCCAGGAAAACCCCACAAAAGCGGTAGGTTTCGCTAATTTTATTTATTTAAATCAATTAGTAGGTAAGACCACGGTTAATAGACTAAGATGGTTAGGCTAGCCGGCATACTTCAAGGAAGGCGGGGAATTATGTTGGGGATCAAAGGATTAAAAAGTCACGTGTCCGTGAAGCGGTACGCTGCGTAAACACATTGTATACTTTTGTATAGGAGCGGGTCAAATTTCTCATCAGAATATCATATTTCGTGTTGGCTAAGGAAGCTAATTTGACGGATTTATATATATTATTGTGTGGCGAATCTGTCGGGAAGCGAAAGGTGGTTTTTGAAGCAAAATGAGTGATATTGAGAGCGAAAACATAGCAGATGTCGAAGGACCCCTCGAAGCCGAAGATGACGAACAAGATGTTGATGATCGTTTCAACCTATTCTTTAGCATAACCGTAGCTGAAACAGATACAACGGAAATTGACAATGAATTTGACGAAGCTGTTTCAGAAATCGAGGGGAAGAAATCATTCGAATGCGACAAATGCGATAAAGTGTGCAAGTCGAAAGGTGGTCTGACAAGACACACAAATTCGAAACATGGCGAACCAAAGAAACGTGCGACTACGAACCTTGGCAACCTAGACAAAGAAACAGTTGATGGATTTGTTGAGGCAATCAAAGCTCGGATTATAAAGGAAGATATTTACAATAGTGAGACAAACACCGCTTTGGCCGCTGTGAAACCAACCAAGGCATTGTTTGAAGCTCTGTTGCCGTTGTACGAAATATTTTGTCGGAAGAAAAATCAGGACAAATTGCTCGAGTCTTTTTATGGTCTAATTCCTCGATCGTGCGAGTTTTTAAAATGCGACGACTATAAAATAGCGAACTTGATAATGATTCAACTGCCCGATT